GCATACAACATGAGTTCAGATTTCATCTGGGTAGCCCTGCCCCCGGGACTATGAAAGTGAGTTACTTCCATATGTTGTCTTAATTCTTAAAATATAGACTTAAGACTTAATTGTGTCTCAAATCGAGGATCATGAAGCTCGATCTTTGAAACAATCTGAAGTCTAAGACCAAATTTGATCGTAAGTCCTAAGACTGCCCCTGAGTAGACTTAGGGACCGTTCATAATTTATGGCCAGGGGGGTGATGATGATTTTTATGGAGAAGCATGTACAACGTGAATGCCCCTAATATTTATGTACAAAGTAAGTGACACTCACTGCATGTCATGTACAGAATCATGACAACCCTCCCCCCCCAAATTTTTAAGCATAACTGTAAAATATTTTTATGTACAAAATTGATAACCCCTAGAAACGTGTACAAAATTGATGACCCCTACCTCCTCAGAACACAATGGGTGACCCCCTTAAAATCATCATCACGCCCCACACGCCTCCACCCACCCCTTAGCCATAAATTATGAGCGGCCCCTTAAGACACAATTTGTAGTAGTAAAGATGGCTAAGAAAAACAAAACTTAAGACAAATTTCGCGCTAAGGGCAATTTTCAGACTTAGGATACTTTCGAGAGAGAGAATGTTTCAGAGAGGCATGCGTTGATCGACGTCCTCAGTTTGCGTTGAAGTGTAATATATCACAACTCATGGGAGATTACATCTCAAGGCTGCTAATGGCAACTTGGACAGAATTCGTTACCGGGGCGCTATCGTTCAAGAGCATGTTCTATCCTGTTGTGGAACCACAGCAACAGCGTCATGTTGCGGTGGGGGAAATCAACACAGGGCAATGCACACAGACATCTTGCACTTGTTGTAGCGGACATTTTGAGCCAGAAAACATTGATGAAATGCCATGGTCTTCTGTTTCTCCAAACCTCTCGCACCTGGAACATATCTGGGATGACATGGTAGCTCGGTTGAACCAGTCTTGGTGGACAGTTGTAACAACATCCCAGGTTGTTTTCATTCAGCTGGTGTCTTCACCATATCGCTGTGTTGGACACAGACGATGTTGTCGCCTTGCTACAAAACCCCTCTTTTAGAGCCTTCTGTCTTCTGTTGCCACGTATGACCTTCGAATTCGTCACTGACATTGATCAGAAGATCTGACATATTGTTAGTTTCAATAATATAACATTTACATCCCTTTATTTCAACCACAGTTACCTTTTCCGCTGGTATACATAATGTTTTCTTAATATTCGTTCGGTATGAGTTAGTGAGTGAGGTCTAACGCAGCTTTGAACAGTATTCCAGTTGTACCACGGCGTGGAGGTCAGCCTGTAGTGGCCGCTAAGATAATTACCAACCAGCCAGCACGGTCATGGTACTGGCAGACCAAGAACATACTTGGGACGAACCTCGATTCGAATTGTCATAGGTTTCTTACGAACCAAAGGGAAGCATAGTTCTATGCACAGCTAACGAGGACCACTGGGCCTCCGTTCTGTTACAGATCCATGAAATACGAGCATCAGGACATAAGCATGACTTTCGTTACCCCTTGTTGGATCACTGGATCACACCAATCTGTCCATATAACATTCCTAATGGGAATCGGATGGTCAGAAGCTGATACTGACTCATACAAATCTACATCATCCTGTGTGAAGCTGTCTGAGTGATATTGTTTAGCCAAGTGCTGTCTGGCTTACTCACACGTTTTGAAAGAGAGAAAAATATACGTTTAGGGTGGTCCTTACTTCCCACAGTCGATACAGACAGTACAATGCTGTTCCTGGAACATTTCCTGGCTTCAAAATGCAAACCGTTCTTTCCATACGCCCTGGTTATCTGGAGAGTTCACTGTCCTGCTCTCCATACAGTCTTCTTACTATGGGATCCTCTCAGGCTATCTGGAGAGTTCACTGTCCTGCTCCATACAGTCTTCTTACTGTGGGATCCTCTCTGGTTATCTGGAGAGTTCACTGTCCTGCTCCATACAGTCTTCTTACTGTGGGATCCTCTCAGGTTATCTGGAGAGTTCACTGTCCTGCTCCATACAGTCTTCTTACTGTGGGATCCTCTCAGGTTATCTGGAGAGTTCACTGTCACTGCTCCATACAGTCTTCTTACTGTGGAGGATCCCTCCTCAGGTTATCTGGGAGAGTTCACTGTCCTGCTCCATACAGTCTTCTTACTGTGGGATCCTCTCAGGTTATCTGGAGGTTCACTGTCCTGCTCCATACAGTACCTTCTTACTGTGGGATCCTCTCAGGTTATCTGGAGTGTCACTGTCCTGCTCTACAGTCTTCTTACTGTGGGATCCTCTCAGGTTATCTGGAGAGTTCACTGTCCTGCTCCATACAGTCTTCTTACTGTGGGACTCCTCCTCAGGTTATCTGGAGTTCACTGTCCTGCTCCATACAGTCTTCTTGCTGTGGGATCCTCTCAGGTTATCTGGAGAGTTCACTGTCTGCTCCATACAGTCTTACTGTGGGATCCTCTCTACAGGTTATCTGGAGTGTCTGTGTCCTGCTCCATACAGTCTTCTTACTGTGGGATCCTCTCAGGTTATCTGGAGTGTTCACTGTCCTGCTCCATACAGTCTTCTTACTGTGGGATCCTCTCAGGTTATCTGGAGTGTCCACTGGGTCCCTCCATACAGTCTTCTTACTGTGGGATCCTCTCAGGTTATCTGGAGTGTTCACTGTCCTGCTCCATACAGTCTTCTTACTGTGGGATCCTCTCAGGTTATCTGGAGAGTTCACTGTCCTGCTCCATACAGTCTTCTTACTGTGGGATCCTCTCAGGTTATCTGGAGAGTTCACTGTCCTGCTCCATACAGTCTTCTTACTGTGGGATCCTCTCAGGTTATCTGGAGAGTTCACTGTCCTGCTCCATACAGTCTTCTTACTGTGGGATCCTCTCAGGTTATCTGGAGAGTTCACTGTCCTGCTCCATACAGTCTTCTTACTGTGGGATCCTCTCAGGTTATCTGGAGTGTTCACTGTCCTGCTCCATACAGTCTTCTTACTGTGGGATCCTCTCAGGTTATCTGGAGTGTTCACTGTCCTGCTCCATACAGTCTTCTTACTGTGGGATCCTCTCAGGTTATCTGGAGTGTTCACTGTCCTGCTCCATACAGTCTTCTTACTGTGGGATCCCTCTCAGGTTATCTGGAGTGTTCACTGTCCTGCTCCATACAGTCTTCTTACTGTGGGATCCTCTCAGGTTATCTGGAGTGTTCACTGTCCTGCTCCATACAGTCTTCTTACTGTGGGATCCTCTCAGGTTATCTGGAGTGTTCACTGTCCTGCTCCATACAGTCTTCTTACTGTGGGATCCTCTCAGGTTATCTGGAGTGTTCACTGTCCTGCTCCATACAGTCTTCTTACTGTGGGATCCTCTCAGGTTATCTGGAGAGTTCACTGTCCTGCTCCATCCTTCTTACTGTGGGATCTTCAGGTTATCTGACTATGGGATCCTCTCAGGTTATCTGGAGTGTCATTTGTTTATCTAAAACTAACGGACCTCAGCCTCCTCTTCTTCATTTAAACAAATACTGTACAGACAATTACATGCTATATGTTGTCATACTGGATATACGGTAAGATGTTCACACCACACATCCCAATATATATTCCTTGCACGGTCTTGCTCTGGCGAGGGCAACAATGAGGGAATGGTCTAAGAGCAATAACTCTGACTGTTACGCGCTGGCCTATTGAAATCCTGGAGAACAACTATGATCAAGGAGAGGAAATCATTTCTCCTATAGTCCGTTTGGCTCACAATCGGACCGATGAATTGCAATCTAACTCGAAAACTACTAGACATATAATACTCAATGAAACACTGATCATAATCAAAACATCAGACCAACTCTGTGATTTTTTTGCAGAATTTATATCCACAAATTAAAGAAAGTTGTTAAACAAACTGTCATTACAATTTTGACACAGTTCACTATTTGTTACGAGTGAGAGCAATTTTGTACACAAGTTTCTTGGTGGGGGTCAGCAATTTTGCACATAAAAATATTTTAAAAATATGCTTTAAAATATGGAAAGGGGAAGGGGGTCATTGACTTTGTACATAAATTTTAAGGGGGGTGTTATTCACATTGTACATGCTTCTCCATAAAAATCATCATCATCACACACACACACACACACACCATCCCCCATAAATTATGAACGGTCCCTTATGGTTATTACAGACACAAGAAAGGCTGTTTATGTGAAAATCTTGAAGTGAGGTTTCAGTCTGCTCCCTACATGTCACGACTGTAATGTCATGATGACTGGCAACTGATTAGAGACCTGCTTTTGTCCTGATTCCAGATTCCTCCATGTGACAAAATATATCATTCCTGTTTGCTCAGAACTGTCAACATAAATACACTGATGCAATATGGCTTACAACATACATGTAGTTGGATAACCCAAACAGGAAACATGTTGCTGAAGGTTGATGACAGATCTGTCAGGACTTGTGTCACAATACAGCACTGAACGATGAGCTTGTACAATGGTCTGTGTGTTAATGATCATTAAACAGTCTGTGAATAAATAATCAATTAACAGTCTGTGATTAAATAATTGTTGGTGAATGTATTTGTAAGGATTAACGTCAAAGTGTTTTTGCAATGATCAAGCTAGAAACGTAAAAACCAATGCACAGATTCCATTTACTACGAGTGGGCACATTTTTCCAAGTATCTGACCACCCATCCTCGACCAGCAAAGGGAGGTAATAAAATCATCGCCCCCCAAGCCGTGGATGCATCCAGGGTATAGTCGAGAGTGATCGTAACGTATACCCTGGAGATTATCGAGGATGCTGACCACCATAAACGCAAAAAAAATGGTGAAGTTAATTCTCAAATAAACAGTCAGTGTGTGCTGAACCACTCAGCCTGCTCAATCTGAAGGTGTATTTCTTTCAACAGGAACTGGAATAACCTGTAGAGGTATACTTCACAACAAAACAGCTGGTTAGGTAAATAATGATAAATTTATTTACAATTCATTCCTCTAACATGTCTACATAACAATACATCAACCCACATCTTCATCAAGGTCAAGGTCATCCATATCCTGGAAGAGAGATTCGTCTACTTCGACAGTATCAGCATCAGCTGCAACAGAGAGGTGAAAGGATATTTTGGGTTGCAGATTCCAATGAAACACCAGTTTCATTCAATATCTGTTGATTGATGGATTGTTTAACGCCTCACACTGCAATATTCCAGATATATAGCAGGTGTGTAAATAATCGAGTCAGGACCAGACAATTAAGTGATCAACAGCATGAGCATCGACCTATGCAAATGGCATACGATGACACGTGTCAACCAAGTCAGCGACCCTGACCACCCAGTCTCGTTAGTCGCCTCTTACGACACGCATGGGTTGCTGAAGATCAATTCTAATCCGGATCTTCAGGGTCATTCAACATCTGTAAAACTAGATGTCTGGATTCTTTCACTCTCCACCATCAGTGTTCACTAACATGACAAACATATGGCGACTGATCTGTTAATTTAATTGTAACTGATAGCCTAAATCTGTTTCATTATGAGTGAGTGAGTTTAGTTTTATGTCGCTTTTAGCAATATTCCAGCTATATCACGGCTGGGAACACACATTGTACCCATGTGTGGAATCGAACCCGCATCATCGGCGTGATGAGCGAACGCTTTAACCACAAGGCTACCTCACCGACCCTGTTTCAATATGAACAAAATGGATGGATATGTAGGGGTTGAGAGCAATATTCCATCTATATCAAGGCAGACAGAGCGAACATCTATTCTAGACCATCCAGACATGTGTCAATATCATGAGCAATGATCTACTCTGAAGGGATACAATGACATGGTATAAAAGGTCAAATACACTGTTACATCCGGACCTCAGATCTGTCTGCTCATACAAGGATGCTGTTACAGGTACCAGCATCCCCACAGTTCATGGTCAAAGGGAGACAACCACCGTGGACTTACCTGACTGCAGAAACTGGACATCTGAGTCATTCATGGAAGAATCCCTCATAAACAGTTCATAACCTGAAACATGGGAACAATGGTCAAGAACAACCAAACAATCTGTGTTGGGGATTCTAGAACTCTGAAAATGTCCCTAGATCATTCAAAGAGTGAATTACATGGAGCAGTCAACAATATTCCAGCTATATCCTAACACCCTCAGGGTTGCCACAGATGACGAAAATTCAAATTCCCTGACTTTTCCCTGACTTATCCCTGACCAATTTGATTTTTCACTGATCAAAATTAGAAGAAAACAAATAAAATTTCGAGCCTCCAACCTCCCCTACAGCCGACCTTTCCGCCCATTTTACTAAAGACAAAGTGAAATCTTAAGACAAAGTAATCAAATGTAATCAAACAAATACAGAGATCCATCTAACATCAAGATGAAGTATATGACACAGAAATATTACCTCTGGTAAACACTGAGAGTTTTTATTTTTTTAAAATTTTAATTTCAATGTTTTTATTGTCAGAAAGTCACTGTTACAAGACTGAGGATCACCTCCAGGAAAAGGGTGACTCTCATCTGTACAGTATGAAATCTTACTGGTAGAAATTCTGACATTTTCTAAAAAACCCAAAAACTCATCCACACTCACATTCATACTAATACTGTTGTGAGGTTCAAATAAACTGCTAGCTTTTCTCTGTGTCTGCTTTTCAATTATAATATATTTTCACACCCAAATATAAAAAGTTCAGCAGAGAGCTTGATATTGAATATGTGGTCAAATTTCTGTGTCAACCATCCATGGAAATTATTCCAAAACATGTCTACAAATGGACACTGCCAAAACAAGTAAACTAAAGTTCATAATACCAATCTCTATACAAAACACATTTAATACAGACATGGAACTCAAAATCATACAATTGTTGCCTCTGTGAAGTCTGAAAAGAACTAGTTTTCCCTGACCAAAGGCAATTTTCCCTGACTTTTTTCCAAAACTTCAATTTTCACTGACTGGTAACAAAATTCCCCGACTTTTCCCTGATCTTGAAAAAATAATTTCTTCCCTGACTTTTCCCTGACCTGTGGCAACCCTGACCCTGTTAATCTGGACCCTGTCAACCAGGGACAGAAAGCATGAGCATCAACTACACAAGGCAAGGCATTTCAGCACCAAACATGAGGTACTGGGGACCAATTCTGACCTAGAATCTCCACAGAGCAGAATGAGTGAGTGAGTGAGTTTAGTTTTATGCAGCTTTTAGCAATATTCCTTCGTTTTCCCTCTCCATGGAGCCTGGATTCATTACACTGCACCTCAAGGCTGGATGTATTCATGGCTCACTAATGAACCTGCATCCCAAACCATGAGGCGCTCAACATCACCACCTGTCTGTTTTACATGTTTCTGTCAGTCCTGGAAGAGCATTCTTCAGAGCACCTAGTGTACACTTGAAATAACTGTAGAATATTCAGAGAGAAAGATCTCTCACTCTCAGAACTTACCAGTTAATTTCTTGCTTGTGACTTCAACATCTGTTTTACTTTTCTTCAGTTCTGCCATTTCAGCATCAAACTTCTGCTTCCATGACATAAATGATTCTACTGTAACACGTGTTCCTTCAAAGCGTTTCTGAAACACAAAATAATTTGTCAAAGAGCGTGAGTCAGGTTTAAGGCCGTTTTGACAAATATTCACCCTGTATCAGTATGTTGTCACAATGTGGAAAAGCCTGACATGACATGATGCAGGTCAAGGATGTTTACCACTTGGGTGAAGCCTGCAAGTATGGGTATGGTGCTGAAACCTAGCAACATAATCGTGGCAAACCGGGATTTGATGATCTTAGGTTTCTGGTGTGCCCAAGGGACGTAACTCTGCACAGAAGGGTAGAGTACCTTAGGCAACTCAACCACCCAGGTTGCATACAGATTGTTGTAACACAAGCTCATGCTCTTTAACTCTAGTGTAATAATGAAGGATGACTTCAGTGTTAACTGACTGGGTAATACTAAATTCCTGGGAACTATGTTAGCCTGTGTATAAACATGAACTTTGACAATCTTAGGGCTCTGTCAGGGACCAAGGATTTATCTGCCATTCTAACCTGACTGTCTTTGGCAGTGAAACTGGGATTAAAGAGACAATGAATAAAAATCTCTCCCTTATTATTGGTCTTGTTAACAGTGAAATAGGCCACCTCCACTGAGAATAAGTTAACATAAACACAATAATGACATATGGTGAGGAATTGTAATAACTCTTGACTTGGGACTTAATATCTGACTCACAGGAGGCAAAAATAAATTACTGAGCTTCATCCAATCTGATCACACTTCAAGTGACACTGTAGAAAACACACTGACACAAACACTTGAGACATACAATGAATCAAGTATGAATGAATGGTATCTCACTCAATATTCACTTGTCATATCCAAGTAAACATGGTCAAAGGGAGATAACTGCTATCTCAACTGGCTGACTGGAATGTTCATCAGATACAATTCCCAGAACTTCGTGCACAGAGGTATCTCAACCTCATAACCTCATGGACGGACAAGCATAAGGTACACATGACACAAATCAGGTACACAAGACAACACAAGCAAGGACAAGCATCAGGGACAAGGGTCTGAATCTGTGCTTCTTATTGGATAATGCCCTACCACATAGGGTAGACACATTCTCTTTAAAGATTTTCTTGCATGTAAGGTGCATCCCTGTGGAATCATTCAAACCAATAATCCCGGCAATAATTACCCGTTCTATTTCTTCTAATACTCTTTGTTCTCTCTCCTTATCCTCGACAACTTTACGCTGGGCGTCCTCCACATTCGTCGTGAGTCGTTCCTGCAGTGCCGACACCAGTGTAAACACCATTGCCATCCCGATGTTCTCCTGAGCCTGGGAAACACAGAATAAATAAACCCAGTGCCCTGCTACACATGTCACAGCTACATCCTGGACAAGGTGATGGGTAACCTTCCATCATTAAAAGGAGATCCATTCATTGCTCACAACCTGTAAGCAAATGACTGCCGTAAGTCTGTTAAAGTATGGGAGTTACGATCCACGAAGATCACTACTCTACACAATTTGAAATGTCTTTCACTTTTGAACTTTTAGAGATCTTGGAATCTGTTGCCTATTTCTTTCCCTTCATACACCTTATTGCCAATATATTTGTTGAGGGTCTTATGTTGAGAATTAAGCATCAAAACAGGGGTTCAAAAATCCCATCGCCCGACGCACAGGACAAGTCAGTTTTCATTTCGGGCAATCAAATAATGGTATCTTACTATCTTACTTGTCCGTGGGCTACTTTCCACTTATGGTTTCAAACTGCAAATAAACTTGGATTTAATTTCATATCTGCTCCAAATGTAGCTATTAAATTTCGCAATGATGATAAAGTAGAGTTATCTTTCTTTGCTATTTATCACTTTTCAATAAATAGTCCAGTAAACATTAACATCAAATACCATGTTGATTTCTTCTTTCATAATTACATCATCATAATTATGTCATAAAATCAGGGCAAGTGGAAAATTAGTCAGGACAAGTTACTTTCTTAACTTTTTAAAAGTATAACGTAAAACTTCTAAATCTTCCTCCAAAATTGTCAAAGTGAAATCAATGATGTGGCATAAGTGATTATTATTATTACTTTGATTATGATTCATCATTATGTTGTGATTAGCTTGATATTGCGTATATATATATATACTTTAAATTATTTGTTGTTATATGCTTGTATTGGCTGTTTGAATGCAAGACAAATTTCCCTTGAGGGACAATAAAGTTTATATGATCTTATCTTATCTTAAGACAAGCATAGATACTGCCAGTTTAGCTGGGCCCAGGATACACACAGCAGACACACCAAAGACTAACCTGTTCATTGAGGTACTGTGTTAGACTTTCCACATCTGCATCATCAAGGTTTTCTGGGTCAATGATCTCCATCAGTGGGGGTTCATCAGGGTAATTCTCCACGTATGTGAACTGAACAAGACAGGCGCATGCAAAGGCTGAAAGTATACAAATACTATTTGGCGTGTTTGGCATGGGAATACTAGAAATTAAATTGTGTCTGTACACCATACATACAATGTAAGTTGTGTAGATTCGGGCCTGTGTGAATGGGCTAGATGCCCTATAATACAAGGTGATGCAGCTACACAATAGAATATAGTGGTGGACCCTGTACAAAGGATATCAATATAATGAAATATACATGAAAACAAATGTGTTTACAAAATATATGTTAATGGATGACAATCAATACACCTTAGTCTCTGCAGCAAACAGAAATATGAAACAAAACATGTACAAGACCACCAACCACACCACGTCACCCCACCATACACTTTACCTCCACACCAAACCAACACCCACCCACCCGACCACATCACCGTCAACTTTACCTCCACACCAAACCAACACCCACCCACCTGACCACATCACCGTCAACTTTACCTCCACACCAGACCAACACCCACCAACCCGGCCACATCACTGTCAACTTTACTGCCACACCAGACCAACACCCACCCACCCGACCACATCACCGTCAACTTTACCTCCACACCAGACCAACACCCACCCACCCGACCACATCACTGTCAACTTTACCTCCACACCAAACCAACACCCACCCTCCCGACCACATCACTGTCAACTTTACCTCCACACCAAACCAACACCCACCCACCCGCCACATCACTGTCAACTTTACCTCCACACCAGACCACCACCCACCCGACCACATCACCGTCAACCTTACCTCCACACCAAACCAACACCTCCACCCAGACCAACACCCTCCGACCACATCACTGTCAACTTTACCTCCACACCCAAACCCCAACACCCACCCACCGACCACATCACCCCCGACCACATCACCGTCAACTTTACCTCCACACCAAACCAACACCCACCCACATCACCGTCAACCTTACCTCCACACCAGTCCAACACCCTCCCGACCACCACCACCACATTATATCACACCACAAACACTCTCTGGAAGAATGAGGACTATTTTTATGGATATACAACTTCTTTATTCTGCATAGGTGATATTTTGACATAGATTCTCATGTTGTTGTCAAGCAAGTGTCAAGCAATAAATACTCTCCGTAAGTATTAGTTGTGGATCTGTTAGTAATGAGCAGGCTCTATTCGCTGACATTCAGTGACATCTAACTACACCTTACATAACTTAATTCTGACAACTGACTAAAGACCATATTGTCTGGAAAGCATTGTAAGGAAATATTTGCAACAGTTCTACTCATACCCCATCTACGTGAAAGAATGATTAATACATCAATAATACCTTCATCTGTGTCATTGGTGTCTTGTGACGCTACTGCCAGGCTGAATACATAGGGGTCTGTACTCTCAACTGAAAGAAGAAAGTCACTTTGTCATAACTAGTGGTGGTCCGATTAATTGAAATAATCGAAGATTGGTCGCAGTGCCTAAACGACCAAGCAATCAAGTGTGTTTTCTCATAATCGAACACAACCAATTTTGGAACACTTGTTTGCATCAACAATATTTTACACAAGGTTGGTTTTGTCTGTGTCATTAAATTTACATTTCATAAGCACTACAAGCTTGTTCCAAGTCATGATTGAATTTATCTTAAAGAATCCAGGAAATCTGTGTTCCTAACATACTAATCATCCTTTAAATATGCGAAATTTGCCAATGGATTTTGTGCAATTTGCAAAAGACCCAAATTACTACATGTTTTTTCCTTTTTTGGTGTGTGTGCATTAACAAAGATAACAGGAACATTTGATAAATGACGCAAACCAATTATTTTCGATGATTGATCGGTTGTAATGAACCAATCATCAATTATGAGATTTTAACCAATTCCCAACACTAGTCATAACCAGAGTGAGGGAACATGGTTTCACTCCACTTTTAGCAACATTCCAACAATGTCAGGGCATGCCAGAAGTAGGATTCACAAAGGTTACTCATTTAGGAATCAAAGCATTCTTCAGTGTGCCAAGTTAACACGTCAACCACTAGGCCAACCCATGTCTCCTGTTCACAACAGAACTAATTCCTCAGGTCATATGATACTATAGCATGTGTAGTGGAGATGTTTTTCCTGTACCTCCTGTACAGGGTTGAAGGAGTAATTGGGTTTTGCACTACCATTACTCAACATATTTACCTGATTAACCCCATTATACCATATTGTGCAATTTAGTTCTGATAGTTTTGTTTACAACTATTTCATCTACCTAGTACTGTATTGCTTATAAAGTGTAAACACTCCTTATGATGCCTAAGAAAGTTATGTCAGTGGTATAGGTATGTTTCTTGATCCTGTTTCTTGATACAGTCAGTTCACGCGTTAATCCGAACACTTCCGTTTTTCATCAAAAACATTCAGATAGTGAAACGTACGGACTACTGAAACAAACCATTGTGTACACCACAACAGTAGAGTTACTTCTACGTCTGGATTTGGCGATGACAAATTTTTATGGTGCCAGTTGTGTTTGGACAAGTCAGACCTATTAATTAATTAAAATCACAAACTAATGACATGTTCAACTCTGAAGTGCCACCTCACTTATCAATTACCATTGAAGTTTACTGATGAAGATCAGCGCTAATCAATGATTCTCACGAGGTAAGGGATTATCCGAACCTTTGATGTACCGCCGGATTAATGAAGCAAAACCAAGTGTAATTAGCTAATCCGTTACTGCCAATTAACATACGGATCCGGAGAGTGAAGCACCGGATTAATGAATCAACAGTTAATGAGTTTACATAGTAAACAAGATTGGTTACAGCCAGATACCGTTCGGATATCGCGGGAATCGGATTATCGGGTCCGGACTAACGCAGCCTGACAGTATGTAACATCTATGAACATGCCTTCAGCAACTGTTACATCACTAATATTTATGTAGTCATGGTAAGCGCCCAAAAAGTAATTCATTTGGATGAGTATGTGTTTCCATTTTATGGGTTTTGCTAATATGCTATCATGGTTAGATGTGATTGACACCTTAGCATCGAGCTATGCAACTGAACTACAATGACAAGCGAAAACCATAACAGCGAGCATGACCACCCGATGCCATTATTAGCCCTTTGGCTTTGCAACAGGTTCCCTGAAGTCTAGCCTGGTTCTTCACAAGTTCAGAAGTTGTCATTGCATTAATTTATGACGCCACTCACACAATTTAATGTCATGACAAGAAAACACTGCTGATCATGGCATATGATGCTAACACAAGTTAATAGACTGAATGTGTATCGCCAAGATAAACCGTCAGAAGGAGAGACTACTATAAGATACAGGTGGCACTACGCCGGTAGCATCAACAGATCCATCTACTACAGGTGAACTACGTCAGAACAAATAACGATCTTTCACACACTTGTAAGTTCCTCTGGATAGATTGCTTCTAATGCTTCGATTTCATTCTTCTGTTCTTCTTTATAATCCGTCATTCTCGTCAAATATCAACGTGTGTCTGCTTCGCCACATTTATTCCAGGAGACCATGCACTGACAAACATGGTACGGCAAGATTTTGTTACAAACCTTTCGATTGGTCATAGGTAATATTCTATCCAATGACAAACTTTGTCTTTTCTCCATTTGGTTTTACTTCCGGTTTTCAGAATACTTCCGGTTGTGGGAGGAAAATTTTACAAGTTGACACAGAGGACGTATTTTGTAAAGATTGCTATCGTTTTCAGTCGTATATTTGGGAAATGTCACGTCAGGCATCAAGAGGAGGTGATCCTAGAAAAGTGGTATGGCATTATTCATGGTTATATGCACGCGTGCAAGTATTTTATGGTGCCAAGGTACTTGTCAACTTACTGGATTTCTGAAGAAATCAGGGTATGATTTCCAGAACCTCTTATAAATAGCAACTCCACTGCTTTGGTTGCCACAGGAAATGGCAAGAGTGCAATTTACATGGCACAGCTTAATGCACTGTACTCTGGCGCGTCTGTATCTTTGATAATTTTGTAAGGGTTATAACACCCAACTCTAAGTTACCTCTTTCCGATCAAACAACCCTTTAAGATCAAGGATTAGTTATTTTCTGGTCAAGCGCCTTCACGATTCTTTGGGTGGGTTTGAGGTAGCGTAGTTCTCATGGTAGGCTGTTGGCTGATCAGGTTAACTCGCTGAGGATGAACTGGATCAGATTCAATTATATAATGGCTTCATGATCATGTTCATATCGCCATTTGATAAACTTCATCAAGAATTACAACGAAAAAGGTAACACAGAGGGATAGGATATATGAAACATCATTACATGCAGTAGGCATGGGTTATTAATAAATATTTTCCAATACAATCTATGTTTATCATGTAGTCATACGTGATTCAGGATTGATATGTATTGTTATGTTATTAATGGGGCCTATTGTTTTTCAGAATGGAGAGTTATTTACACTAACATATGGAGCACTTGTTGCTCAGCTGATGAAAGATTATGAAAATGATGATGAAGTCAACAAGCAGCTGGAAAAGATGTGAGTATAATAAGTTTGATTATTTTAGGGAAGTTATATGATATTTTCAGCTTCCAAACAAATTTTACCCGATAACGTTTTTGCAACAGTGAAGTTCTCTTAATGTACTCAAAACTTCAACAATTCTTACTTTTTCCAGCAAACTGCATACGACACAATAATTGCTACTCCCTTCTAAATGTCATCCATGTTTTATAGTATAACATGTTTATAAGTCCTACACTTATTTGGTGTCACTGTCAGTTAATGATTTTATTACAAGTATTGACTAGTGGTGACAGCACTCCGATTACCTAGACTATGCAAAATAACTCAAAACAAGTTCACACCTGCCTCTGAGTGTATTTTATCAGGCAAGAAATCAGACAAGTAATGACTTTTTAGCCCCAGCTGAGCTCTACAAAGAAGGCCAAAAATGTGTACCCTCTTGATGATTCTAACCTCGTGTGTACATAGAAGTTGCACAATTGCTAAAATTAAGTACACATATTTGAAATAAAGTTTTTACAAAGCGAATCCTACAGTTTTCAAGGGATTTTGAATGAGGTCTTTCACTTTCCAATTTTCCTTTTGTGATCAGTTTAATTCATCAAACTTTTTATTGCATTTATCTTTCAGGGGTTACAACATCGGTGTTCGTCTCATCGAAGATTTCCTGGCTCGAGCCAACATTGGAAGATGCAGTGACTTCCGGGAAACAGCTGACATAGTAGCAAGGGTAAGTTTGACAGTGGGTAAATGTGACAATGGGTAAATGTGACAATAGCCTGGTGTGATGGTGAACTGTTCTATTCACATAATAAGTAAATGTGACAATTAGCTGTCAATGTGTATATTTAAGTGTCACAATGGATGAGCATGAAAATGTGACAATCAAATGTCAGTTTGCATATTTGGTGAACTAAATGTTTGAAAGTAGGATAAAATCAATTCTGTATTTACATATCACCCGAACAGGGAACGTCCTAGTGATTATGAGGCCAAGTAATTGTGTGGCATAATCATGATGTAACAGATGAGAGGGCGTATAGGCGTAATGTACGCCTCAAAATCAATTAAGCACGACATAATATAAGATTTCAAGCTGTGATTGTAAAATGCGCATAAAAATACCTTTGTGCGCCTAACATTTAATTTCGATGCGATCGTGCAAATGAAAATATATTTCGGATAAATACTTGTCAAGTTTCTGACGATTTGACACATGAGGAAACCCTGACAGTAGGAATCACTTGCGTTGCCATGCAACGATATGCGTCACTATTTTTCGATTGGCTAAAAACTACACTGTTGCTATTTATATCCAGTCGGACCTGACATTTTGCGCATCACACGGTCGCTCAGTTATTTCTCATGCGACTTCAAATACAAATACATGGTTGGAAATAGTGTCGATGAATCGTCCAGACAAACCACATCACCAACTCGCTCACACAAAAACATGTCAGTACTCCTTCAAAATTCTCAGTACACCTACACTTGCAATATGATGTGTAAGTACACTCCACACCCCAAAAGTTATCTGGAGCCCTGATTATCATGATGTACTGTGAGAAGAGAGGCAATAGCTAGCTCCCCTTATTATGCTTATATACAAAAGAATGAGATACAAGAAAATTCTATGCTGAGATAGATCTTTCTTTAGTATTCTATGGTGAGAACTAGGGCTGGGACGGGTACTTGGGTACTCGAATCTGGGTCTGGTACAGCTGGAATCGAGTCCTATTTCTAGGATTCGAGTACCCGGAAAGGGAGAGAATATGTAATGACAAGGGCAGATAATAACTTGTCTTTTTCATTATTGACGTAATACACAATTTCCATCATTGGTATTGTCCGATTAATGGGGATTATTATTAACGACTGTAATTTATCTGTGCATGAGCAGTGAGTAGTCAAGTAACAGTAACAGCAGGAACGAAAAGTTATGTGTTTTAAGCAGGAATGTGAGTAATGGTGTTACTCTTTATATTAGTTAAACAGACGTAAATTAAATAGTCTAAGATCAGTTTCAGTGTCTTATTGCCATCCTTTCAAGTTTTCTATAATAATCTCTGTCAACTAGTGATTGAATATTCAGAAAGTTGACAGAAGAGCTGTATTCCTTACATTTCCGAGTACTCGATTCCGATTTGGGTAAGTACATGCGGGTACTCGATTCTATGTTTTCCTACCCATCCCATCCCTAGTGAGAACATGGTGGAAGCCATTAGAACTCTGTCTAAATATGGCACACCGCTGCCACATATTGAATCTACAGGTACAACTATAACAGTTGAAATACTGTTGCACAAAGTATAACACTGCCTCATAACAAGTGAAAATATTAGGCATACCTAATTAAGGTTTGTGTACCTGTTCGTCAACCAGGTAGCTTTCAAGATGTACCTGGGCATCCAGCCAGTTGTCAGCAACTGGAGTGCAGCAGGAGATGAATTCTCTCTGCTCATTGAGAACAATCCCTTGACGGATTTCGTGGAACTACCAGATGGACACAATGCTCTCCACTACTCCAACCTACTCTCTGGGGTTCTCAAAGGATCCCTCGAAATGGTAGGTATCCTTCCTTGAAATGGTAGGTATCCTTCCTCGAAATGGTAGGTATCCTTCCTCGAAATGGTAGGTATCCTTCCTCGAAATGGTAGGTATCCTTCCTTGAAATGGTAGGTATCCTTCCTCAAAATAGTAGGTGGCTCAAGAAGATCCAGGTTAGAATTGGCCTTCAGCAACCCATGCTTGTAGTAAGAGGCGACATTATTGTGTGGTCAAGCTCATTGACATGGTTGCTTAATGTCGTTGTTTTCCATATGAGTAGATTTATGCTGATGATATCAGTCACAAGATTATCCGATCCAGACTCAATTATTTACAGACCCCCATCATGTTGATGGAATATTATTGAGTGCAATGTTAAACAACAAACAAATAAAACAAATACAAATAAAATGGTAGGTATAAGAATGAAGTTATGGAAATGCAATCTTTTCTCAAGATTTAGCCAAGAATATGGAATCACGGGATCCTTGACGTAAGCTTAATATCGAATGTCTGAGATTGTGGAGTTACATGAAACACTAATGGAACTAACATCAAGATGCCAAAATGTCATTGATTTCATCCTCGATATCATCATGGTCATTATGTCATCATTCATGTAGTGAAATCATCATATGACATATGTTTCATATTGATTTTTATGAACCAGTGTCATAAAATACTAAATAAATGACATGATAAAGTAAATTTTAAAACTCTTCAAAAGTTGAAGGACACCCTACTTTTTTATATGACTGTGATCAAATCAAGATTCCATATGAAAAAATCATGACACTTCAACTATAGTCACAACAGATTGACTACAGCTCTAGGAAATAAATGGGGTTTCTATCACTTCTTGTTAGTTATACAGATAGTAGCCTGTCTCTGTTGTATTTGCAGGTACAGATGGACGTTGATGTCCGGTTTGTCCAGGATCAGCTAAAGGGAGATAACATCACTGAAATCCGACTCAAGTTCATTAAGCGACTAGAAGATGCGATACCTGCTGGTGAAGACTAGGAATATACACCTTTGTCATGACTCACAGATATGTCTCCTGGCAGAGAGCAAAGGGTTATTGCCACTGTGTCAGTATGTGATGGCAAGTTTTGCTCGCTGGAGACAAGTATTCAAGTTGTGAATAATGCCTCCATGGTTTTGAATGCGGTTTCACACAGATCATCCACTCTGGAACATATTCATAGCTACTTGTGGAATTAAACTTTAGTGTATGAAGTAGTGTAAATACGTTTAACTATTCCGCTAGTCATATTAGCATTGCAAGTGTAATAATGGTGAAGGAGCATCCTGCTGGGTAAAGTGTCTTCGTCACTCCTAGCCAAGGCTCTGAAGCCCAGTTTTATTTTCTTCTTTAACATTTCTTCAGGCTATTTGGCCAGTTGAAGACAGACATGCTAGGGAGTATGGCTGTTCAAATCCCGACATATGAGTGGTAAACCCTTGTGAAAACAAGGCTGTAGCACTTGTAGACTCCGTGATGACATTATACATAGGTAATGATATCTTATGACATTCAACAGTTGTGGATATTTGTCCCAGCTTATACTTTGCTACATTTGGACCTGAATGCAGCCTGTGAAATTCACCCTAGTCTGCCAGTCTAGAGTCCAAAACCTGCACTGAGGACAAGTGAAAACACAATGATGGCGGTCCTTATTGACTGCATTTGAGGGCTATACATTTTAAAAATTCTGAACCAGCTTTCAATCCTTCAACTTTGCTTCAAGTTGGAACCAAATAAGACTGGCAGAAAATCTAGACATGCTAAGCAGTATAATCTTTCTTAGGGCTCCAGATAAGGGGCGTATGTACGGATAAAAAATATGCACGATACGGTAGGAAATAATTTAGAAAACGTAGCAGATACGCACCACAGCAGTGGTGTACGGTCTTAGAATCATTTACAGGTGTATTTATCTGAAAAAAGTTTTGTTCTATTGTTTATTGACCTGTTTACACAAGAGTAGCAATGTTGTGGTCCATATATGAAACGAAACACAAGATTACTGATAGTCCATTAACTTCCATTCAGTACTCTAAATGTACACTTAGTTTTTTTTCAGTACTCCTATATTGAACAAATAAGGAGTACGTACTCCTGATGTTGAAAAATTATCTGGAGCCCTGCTTTCTAAAGGAAGACTACCTTCAAACTCAAAGGACCAGTGAAATAAGTTTTACTTTGGTAATGCCAAAAGATGTCTAATGCAGTGAATGCATCATCACCTTGTTTCTCTTCATTTTGTTCTATTACAGTGTTGTACATGCCAAGCTGTTCCTTCTTCACATGTATATAGGTATATTTATTGACAGTTCATGTACTGTATATTTGTGTGTTTGTTTGCATGGACAGAATGACAGGCATCTGTAAAAGGTACAGTAATTCTGTAATTGATCCCAAGATTCTAGTTGTTTAAATGAAACATTGTCCTCCCAGTAAGCTGTCACTCATGTTAAATTTGGGGCTCTCTAACTCTTTCTTCCCTCCTCCCAAACTCGGGTCTCTCTCACAGACACACACACACAGACACACACACACACACACAGACACACACACTATTTGCCTTTGTGACAATCCCAGCTCACACACACTTAACTTCAGTTCAAGTTATTCCTTGTGAAGCCAGGTGCACTACCATCTCTCACTACTCATGACCTGTATGTCATGTATGGTTGTGACAAATTGACATCGGAAATTACTACATGGTGGGAGTGGATTGTCTGGTCCATATTCCATTATACTCACTGCCGCCATATAGCTGGACTATTGCTGTGGGCGGCATTAAACAACAAACAAACAAAAATTGGTGGAGTTTCACTCGTACTAACAGCACAAGACATGTTTTATACAGGAACCTGTGTATTGTTGTTGCTTTAAATCCATGAACTGGTGTTGTGAAAACAGTTGTTTGTTGTGTAGTATGAAAGTAAACAAGTAAGTGTTCATAATATGGCATTACAGTGTTCAAACTTAATCATGCAAGTGGAGAGTTCTCATGATATCATTTTGTTGATAGTTTCAGTCACTTTGCACCCGATTCAATTATACAGAATTATACTGATGAATCGCGATTAATTTTGAACACTGCAACTACCCTCATAGACATACCTATGTCTCGAATACATCGATAAATTCGAATGACATTACATAATTAGCATACACAACATTCTGTTGTTGTTGTTGTTGCAATTGTACACATTCCAGATTTGCAGTTCAAAATGGAGGACAGAATATTCCATCTGTTATTTGGAAGAATTACTCTGCTGTTTTTATGTAAACATATTAGATCAAGAGATAGATGCAGTTTTAGAAAGAAGATGTTTTGTTTGTGATCTTAACGAGATGTATGTTGCTCTGCATGAGAATAATGTGTGAATGTGAATGTTAATTGTAAGAAATAATTTGAGAATAAATTTTGCAAACTTGTGCTGTTGTTTTGTTTATGAAGACAGGGAGGTTGGCAGGAAAGTTTATGTACAATCAGAAGAATGTCATGAATCTTGGGGTTGAATAGATAAAGGGGTTGAATCTAGGAAGAATTTCTGTTGCTTGACTCAAAACTTTAAACAAATTATGCAACAGCATTTATGACTGTTAATCAAGTTCTTTAAGATGTATTACCCATAGCTGTCAAGGGGCGGTGGGGTAGGCTAGTGGTTAAAGTGTTCACTTGTCACGCCGAAGACCCGGGTTCGATTCCCAATGTGAGTACAATGTGTAAAGCCCATTTCTGGTGTCTACCGCCATGATATTGCTGGAATATTGCTAAGAGCAGCGTAAAACCCAACTCACTCATAGCTGTCAAACTTTGTATAGACAGTAACATTTGTCACTAAGTCTTGTTATTCTGAGGGCTTATGGTTCAGAATATCATGAGATAGAAGGTCTGTCATTCAATAAAGGTTTGGTTGTGAGGTCCTCTTTATTAAACTGTCCATGCTTGTCTGTAAGAGTTCACTAACGGGATCGGGTGGTCAGACTCCCAATTGCATGGGGAGTCATGCTGTTGATCACTGGATTGTCTGGTTCAGACTTGATTATTTACAGACCACCCCCAGATAGCTGGAATATTGCTGAGTGCAGTTTTAAACAACAAACCAAACCAACCAAAACATAGGTATCAAGCGACTTAATCGGGGCGTGGTGGGCGAGCTGGCTAGGGCGCCTGGCTAGTCATCCAGTGAGCATGAGGTGCCGGGATCAAGCCCACCTGTGACCGGGTGTAAAAAACCTAGGAGTCAACTTTGTGTGCAGATTCTTTCAGTGTTGTCACAACCCCTAGTGTACAGTACACAAACCTGTGCACTTAAAAGAACCCATGAATCCGTTGGTATATGACCAGATGGTGGCCACATGAATACGTGCAAACACCTAGTTGAGGGTACAGCAACGTGCATTGAACTTGGACAAAGTACTGTGACTATGTGTCCCGGTTCACCCAGCTGTGAATGGGCACCTCGTAAGGATGGGAAAGCCGCAATAACTCGGTGCGCCTTGTGGCAGCAAGAGTTGTATGCTCACCAGGGAGTTGAGATTGACATCCAATGATCGAGGGAACAAATACCAGCGCCTTGAGCATGCACTAGTGCCTGGATATGTGCGCTATATAAATATCCAATAATAAATAAATAATCCTAGATGCTGTGGATACATCTTCGTTACATGCTTGTGAGAAGTGCTTGGTTCGTTCCACAGGTGTGCTGGGACTTGTTTACTGGACCAGTAACAAGAGGCAGAAGTCTTACATGATTGGTTGCTGTCTCTAGTTTATCAGGAGTCAATGAACTGTCTCTGGGGGGCAGTGGAGGTTGTTGTGTCCAGTTCACAGAGCTGATGTCCAGTGGTTCAGTCCCTGCCATGTCAGACCTGGAGATGTTAAAACATGGATCTTGTTTCCCTGCCTCTTGTTCAGTAGTGAGGGGACAAATGAAATATTGGTCAGCTACCCTTGAGCTAGTACTAAAGAACTGGCTCAAGTCCAGACTAGTAGCCCGCGCATGCACACACTAAAATAGTAATAGGCCATTTATATAGCGCCTTTCCACGTCACAGGGATATGCTCAAAGCGCTTCCTGAGCTCAAGTTAAAACTATATACAGTTGGCAGGTACGGATGATTGGAAGTCACTTGTAGCGAAGAAATAGATGAGTCTTTAGTCGTGTTTTGAATGTACTTAGGGAAGGAGATGATTTTAACTCGATAGGGAGAGAGTTCCACAGAGAAGCTGCTGCATATGAAAAGGTCCTTGAGCCAAATGATTTGAGATTGTAGCTTCGGGACAGCAAGTAACAGTTGTTGTGATGGCCAGGGTTCTTTCTGGAGAGTAATGTGTCAGAAGGTCTTGAAGGTAGGACGGTCCTGAGTTGTAGAAAGACTGGTAGGTGAGGCAGAGAATCTTGAAATCAATCCTTTCAATGAACACGAGCCAGTGTAGAGAGTTTAGGATGGGAGAGATGTGACAGCGAGGACTGGTGAGAGTGTTGATGCGTGCAGCTTTGTTCTGGATTTTCTGAAGACGATGGAGTTGAGAGGAAGAGATGCCAAACAGTAAACTGTTGCAGTAATCCACGCGGGATAAAATCAGTGTCCGCACAAGGGTGGCAGTGGCTTCTTTTGTTAGGACTTTGCGGATGCTGCCGATGTTCTTCAGATGGTAGTGGCAGGTCTTTACTAGATGATTTATTTGCTTGTCCATGCTGAGGTTTGAGTCCAAAAGAACGCCAAGGTTTTTCACTAACACTAACACTGGCAGTGTAATGATATAGCAATACAAGGCTCACGATACAATATATCAATTTACAACTCTAATATCACAATACATACAATTCATTTCATTACAAGTTTCACCAATATGAAAAGCGTGAATAATAACAGAAATTGTTCAAGAACAGATTTATGCAGATTTGTAGTATTTCCTGACTGATTATAAACAACAGAATCAGCACAGTGCCCCCAAGCTTATATGTTTCTCCCCTACAACATGTACAATATCTCATCTTACTTTCTAAAATTTGAAACCAAATGATTCAGGGTGATGACCTGTAGGAAGGGAGAGAAGATAACTTACGAAGTAAAAGTACTGCATCAGGATGGGTTTATCTATCAGATAGTGGACTCACTATTGTTGAGCCGGTTGTCTCCCAATTGACAGACACCCAATTGAGAGACACTGAACTAGAAGGTTAATTAGGGTAACACCTACGGATATAATGGAATAGTCCACTATCTAGTGAGTAGAGCAGAGTGAGCCTGAAACAGGTTCGTTACTGAGATGTTTGATTGTGGGCAAATAGAACTTTGTTGTGATTAAATGATAAATGATTTCTCTTCTCAAAATTGATTTTACTATCAATTACTATCGAATATAAAAACAGGTTTGTCACTGAGAGGTTTGATTGTGTTTATTGATAGAAAAGACCCCTCACAATAAGAGCATATGTACAACAGAAGTTAACTGAGAAAACGTTTTGTTGGAGAGATATAGATATGTACATATTTGAAAACATTCTTATTTGCAGTAAATGAGACACCTGCATTGCCATTTAAGATACGATTAATACCAATCAGTGTTCTAATTTTAACAATACTTTCTAAAAATTGTAACAGTTTTTGTCTTTGAGTAGTATACAATGGACATTCAAGGAAGTAATGAAAAGCTTTCTCACATCCATGGCCACATTCACATGAAGCGTCATATTTTAAATATTTATTCTAAATAAATCGTAATTAAGTGCACTCGTCATATATCTAATATTGTTAGCAAAACATATAACTTCTTTATTCCATATGAATAATATTTAGGTTCACATTTGTCTTTATTTGATTTATATGATACAACAGGTTGAGCCTCCAACACAGATATGTGTGCATGCCCACAAACACAACATAAAGACTCATATGCACACAAGTCTCTATATAAGTGAAATAATCTGGCCCGCAACATCGAACCCTGTTTCACTTCACTATTTCTTAATTTCTAACAAAACCCATTTCAATAGTCTCACTTGACCTCTACTTACAATAAATTTTTAAAATATTAAGTTGTTTTAAAATTTCATTTGTCATGGAAGTGTATGTTGTGATTGCTATATGAAAAAGCAAGAGAGGTAAGTTTATCTATTGGGGAAAGTCAAGCTAAAAGTTTCAGAATACAACATTTGCTGTTTGTGGATTTTATGAGCGCTTCGCAATTGGTTTTCGACAACTAAATTGCAAAACACAATATAGTGGATGATTTGTATTTACCGTGATACTGATAATTATTATATTAAAGCTTAGTAGTCTACAACGAATAAATAATGCACTTGTATTGTAAACGGAAGCCGACATCGTGACTACAAATGTTAATTCCGCAGCAAAAACAGCATGGAAGCCGAAAACTACAAGAGCAAAACCCTGTTCATTAGAAACCTCCCATTTGTAACTACTAATGAAAAGCTGACGACATTGTTTGAAGATATTGGCCCAATCAAACAATGTTTTGTTGTTAAGAAAAAAGGTAATGCCATCATTATGTCTTTCGACCTTTTATCTTCGTTTGTTTACATTTTTATTGTAAACACGTGGCCTACACGCTGTGGGATAAGACAAGTAAACACACCCATTCGAGACTGATTTCATCATTTTGTAAAACAAGAATATGGAGCGGAATACATTTGCACATTGACCAAATTACGTGATCATGCGAGGCTGAAGGATACATGTGATTGTAGTGGGGAATATTTCAAGTACTGTCCAAGAGCCGCAGTATACCCCCACTATGGGGTCCGACAGTCAAGACTGCGTCTCGCCTGGACATATATTCCTTGGTTTTAGGGTCGTGACAAGTATGTCACATGTACATTATATTATCTATTGCAGTTTGCAACTGACTCCAGATTTCATTCTGTTGAGCATGACATGTTTAATTTGATGGGTGGGGTGGTGGTATGTTTAAAGCGTTGCTCGTCACACCGGGCAGCGGTGGAGTAGCCATTTCTGGTTAAAGAATATTGCTCGCTCATCACGCCGAAGAGAAATATTGATGTTGTAAGAGGCGACGAACGGGATCCCCAGGCTTGCATAGGCACAATATGTGAAGCCCATTTCTGGCAGATCGATGCTCATGTTGTTGACCATGACATTGCTTTCATAGCTGGAATATTGCTAAAAGCGGTGTAAAACTAAACTCACTCACTCACTTTGTGTACCCACTACGCACAGATTGCTCCAAATATGTATAGGATTTTCCTTTCCAAACTGATGTATTTTACCAAGTTTACCCATCAGAAAATGTCTTTACATGAACTATATCTCCTTTCAGATTCTGACCTTTGCCGTGGGTTTGGTTATGTCAAATTTTCTCTCATGTAAGTTGTGTCTAATTCTCTGTTTTGTCCATTTTAATACTGATGGTAATTGTGTCTGATAATGTGAATATTGTGAATTCTTTAAGAGTCTCAGAGATTGTGTCTCTCAGGTATGATGTAGCATACAGTACGAACATGGTTACAGCAGACAGTGACAAGTGACAGTTACAAGAACGACAAGCAATGGTGTGAAAATAAATGAATGATAATCTTCCACAGTTTATTGGCCTAAACATAATGTGTCTGATTTAAGGGCTACTTATTTTGAATGTTATCAGCGCAATATTTGAATATGTTTTAGCTTGTTTATCATATTTTGTAAACAGGTAATACATTCAGACATGGATTTGACCTTAAGGTACTAGTCTCTAAATGCACCCCATGAATGTCTTTAAAGAACTTCTGTACTTCATATTACATAGGACAGTGGGTTTCCTCGTTGTTTGAGCTGTGACAAATCTCTCTGCAAAGTTTTGTCCCTTGGAAACTCGTACGCAGTTTGACCTGAATCTCAGTTTCTCAGCACCATACCAGTAGTATGAACGGTCCCTAAGTAACCATGGAAACAAAAGCTTAATGTTGAATTGTGTTCACCTGCTTATAGTGAGGATGCCATCAAAGCCAAAGACACAATTACAAAGTTAGAGGGAAGGAAGTTAATTGTGAGCTTTGCTGATCATAAACGAAAGAAACCAAGGAAGTTCTCCAAGAAAGACGATGATAGCGAGGAGGATGAAGACAAGGATCAGGAGGAGGCAAAAGAAACACACGGTAAGAATTCATATCCCTCGGAGAAATGTGTTTCACTTGACTATTCTTCATGGATTCTTTGGACACAAAGGGGGCGGTGGGGTAGCCTAATGGTTAAAGCGTTGGCTCGTCACGCTGAAGACCCGGGTTCGAATCCCCACATGGGCACAATGTGTGAAGCCCATTTCTGGTGTCCCCCGCCGTGATGTTGCTGGAATATTGCTAAAAGCGGCGTAAAACCAAAATCAGTCAGTCAGTTGGACACAAAGTAATCAAAATGCATTTGTTTCATTAATGATGTCAGTGTTACCATGGTTACATGTTTTCATTTCCTGTTGTTTGTTTGTTCAAGATGGAGGAACTGTTAAGAAGGGGAATGCTGAATCTGGTCCGAACCACGACTCAAAATACTTAAAGGCCAAAATTGTGGTGCTGACAGGATTTGGTCCTGACCTTGACCTAGGTGGGGTGACAGATCTTGTGAGGTGAGACCTGTTGCTGTGATTTTCTATCACATTCTGATTTTTCTTCACATTGGCAGATGTTTAATGCTGGATGTGTTTCTGCATGGAGATTTGACAGAACTACAATGGCTAATTCTGAGTATAAATAGTAAACACCATACCATTATGCTGTGGATATTTTATGCACCCTGAGCATGGATGGTTCATCACAGCCGAGTAATACACCTAAACGATTTGATTTCAAAACATGTAATGTGTTTCTGAAATCAAGGCAACTTCATTCATACTGCCTGACAAAAGCTTTGAGTCAACTAGGTCGCTCCTGGGTTGCTCCTAGGTTGTAGTGCAACTACCTTGAATTGGTAATGTTGATCAGAACAAAGTTCTGAAGAATTATTATTGTTATTATTGGATATTTATATAGCGCACATATCCACGCACTAGTGCATGCTCAAGGCGCTGGTATTTTTTCCCTCGATCATTGGATGTCAATCTCAACGGCACATCTTATTATCAATCTCAACTCCCTGGGAAGCATACAACTCTTGCTGCCACAAGGCACGCCAAGTTTTTTGCGGCTTTCCCATCCTTACAAGGTACCCAATTCACAGCTGGGTGCACTGGGACACATAGTCACAGTACTTTGTCCAAGTTTACTGCACATTGCTGTACCCGCAACTAGGTGTTTGCACGTATTCATGTGGCAACCATCTGGTCATATACCAACGGATTCGTGGGTTCATTTTAGTGCACAGGGTTGTGTACTGTACACTAGGGGTTGTGACAACACTGAAAGAGCCTGCACACAAAGTTGACTCCAAGGATTTTACACCCAGTCACAGGTGGGCTCGATCCCGGCACCTCATGCTCGCTGGATCCTGGCACCTTAACCAGCTCGCCCACCACGCCCCCATTACTTAGAAATGTATTTACATCAACTGTCTAGACTGTTTACCTGTAGAATACAGCACCACGAACTTTAAAAATACGTCATAATACCCTTTTACGTAATGTAATGTGATTTTGTTTGAAAGCACGTTCTCGAAACAATGCCCTATGACGCCTGCATGGTAACATGGTTGTCAAGCTCAGCGAGTGCGTATAAGCTCTGCTCACTGGTGTTTCATCTCTACTAGCTATGTCATTGCATAAGCCCAACAATGTTGAGAGTTTCCAGTAGTTGTATACCGGCGGATGTGCAATTCTTTGCAAGCACCAGTTTGAAATATTTTTTTTCCACTAATACGCTCATATTTATTTGTATTACGGGGTGCTGAGGTGTTATGTTTTGTGTATTATTGTATTTTGTATTTTATAAATTTAGCAAGAATGTGTTACACCGGTCTATATTATATATATTTGATTATTCGCAATTTTGGTCAATGTAATTATTTAAATTATGTAAATATATTTTATATTTCGGTTTCTAAGTAACTATTAAGTCTAAATGATTTACCAATGTGAACTGACATACATATATTTTTTTTCATTTAGTAATTTGCACCATTACACAGAAAAGTTTTTTATTAGTATTTTATTTTTCGAAGCGGTAATAATTCATTACACTGGACACGTCAGTCATGTTTGTGCCGGTTTGGTCAATGCATTCTATTTATTATGATTATTTCAAGGGTTTAGGGTTAGGGCTTATGACTGAGGGTTTAGGGTTAGGGACCTAATCAAATATAGTAGGTACATCTCCGGTGTAATACGTGAGTACCGTTTGCTGTTTTTCCTTTTGCATTTTAATAATCCCGGTTCGGTCAATGCATTCTATTTATTAGGATTATTTCAAGGGTTAGGGCTGAGGGGTTAGGGTTAGGAGTAACCAATTTGTACATGTCCGTTTTTACCATTTTTGCTTTGCATTTTAATACTTGTTTACACTCAAAAACAGGAAACCAAAATCGTGAAAAGTACACTATGAAATGGTTTAGTATAGAAATTTTGAGCTAATGGAAATTGACCTGGAATTTGCACTCAAGCCTCTTTCACACGCAACATTTGTTCAGTAATGATTCAAAGGCTAACTCACCCTTGTGCCGTCACTACATATGCTCATGTCTCCCTCGTTCCTTAGTGCAATCCACGTTATCCTCACAGTGTTCCCTACATCACTTTTCTGTCACAAAATCACCGATTTATATAAAAGCGTGTCATTCATGCATGCACCGTGAAATCTACGTCTGACGCCTGACGTCAGCAACCCTTTCCAGTTTGAGGCATATCGGCTCATTCCACGCCACACGTTATCTTGTAGATTACGGAATGGGACGAGTGTGCCAAATGGCATCGGGTCCATTCGGCAATTGTCCGTAGATTACAATCACGAGACACCAAGTCTACCCGTAACCTTCGTAATTGTCTGTGACCTATTCGACTCTTTCCGTTCATTTCCATGACGTCACAGGAATGACTTGATAAATTTGCACATTGTGCAACAGTGTGGACGTAGCTCAGTCGGTTAGCTGTCGAGCTAACAATCCAAAAGGTCGCGGGTTCGCGTCCGACGGGTTCTCACAAACTGGTTGCTTGTCTTAATGACACGTGACCTACAGAAGAGATTGTCCTCACGAGAAGTTGTGGTGCTGTATTCTAAAAGTGCTCCAAATCTTCTTGTTTGTTCAGCCATGTGAAGAAGGTGAACAAGATTGTCTTCCCTGTAGAAGACAGGACTGTACCTACAGCTTTCCTGAAGTTCAAGTGTGTCCGAGACGCAAAACTGGCCATCAGGAAAGTGCATGACAAAACTATCAAAGGTAAAGAATTATAAACTGATATGCTTTTGTAAGGGAAAAGTCTTTGTGAAATTTGATTCAAATCCTGTAAATCATACTGACTGGCTGGTCTTGGCTTATTTAATGCTGACCTTCAAATTCTCAGTACCCCCAGCACATTAGAAAATTCTTTATGTATATCTCGTAAATGTAATTAGAATGAAGTTTGTGACAATGAAGTAGACATTACTGTTTTTCATGTGTATTTCTGGTCCCATGTTCCAGGTTGTAAACTCTCGGCAGTGCATCTGTCAAAGGAGTTTGCTGAGATGCCCCAGAAGATGCTGAAGAGGTGCAGGCTCATAATACGAAACCTCTCCTTCCAGGTAAGTTTGTGGTTGCCATAGAAACATATCCTATTGTTTGTTTTAATACTAGCAAAAAACTGACTGTACTCACTGTAATTCAGACTGACTTTTGCCATGGGTAGCGTTACAGAGTGAATAGTGACTGAGTAAGTGACAATTTTAGCAATATTCCAGTAATATCACATCAGGGGATACCAGAAATGGGCTTCACAAATTGTACCCATGTGGGGAATTAAACCTGGGTCTGCAGATTGAAGATCGAATGCTTTAACCACTAGGCTAGGGAACACCAGAAATGTGTTTCACATGTTGTGCTCATGTGGGGAATCAAATGCTTTAACCTCTAGGCTACCCAACTGCCCAACCATGGGTGAGATCTTGTTATCATTTTCCATATGTACTAATTAATTCTGCTTCCTTCTTCTCATAAACTTAATTGTGTAGAAGTGTGTCAAGGCAAGGGGTTTGAAAAATCCAGCGTTGAAAATCAGATTCCGTCACAGACACACACTGTTGTGATTTGTACTTGTACTATACAGAGTTACCTCCCATCCAATCTGTCAGTTTTGTGGTGATTGCTAATTTGTTTTGAAAATACAAACTTTTATAGCCACCTTATCACAGATACTCATTTCTACCTTAATTTGGGGTCAATGCCTTTGTCTTTGGAATAATCATTCATAAGAATCATTATTCATTTATAACTTACATTTTTGATAGGTATCATTCCTGTCCCTGTCATCCCTTAAATGTCCTGTAGTAACCAGTTAAGATCCAGGCTAGCTATTCTCGAGCGTTCGTAGCCCTACAAACGTCTTAAGCCCATTCTTAACACATTGGGTACGATCAAAGTTAAGAATTCTTAGGGCTACGAATGTTTCAAGAATAAGGGACCAGGTTCTAATTGGTCTTCAGCAACCCATCATTAAGAGGCAACTCACAGGATTTGGGAGGCTGGACTGGCTTACTTTCCATGTCATATCCCAACTACATCCATAAATATTCGTGATGACAATCACTGGATTGTCTGGTCCGGAGTTGATTATTTACAGATCACCATTATATGGCTGTAAAATTGCTTTGGGTGGTGTGGAAGAACAAACTGTAGATTGTGAATATGTTATTCTATTCATGGGATGTCTGCAATCTGTTGTCCCCAGTTAGGAGATGAAGAACTGCGCTCACATTTTGAAGGATTTGGGGAACTGACCGACGTTACAATACCCACTAAACCAGGTGAGTCAAATGTGCGCTTATGTTCATCAGTTTTAATATATTATCTATGATAAAGAACCTGGAATCAACTAGTTGATCAACTAGGGTGTCTCCAGCTGGATGTTTCACACCATATTTCTAAAACCCTGCTGGGATTCTGGGTTAGATCCCTAGCAGCTGATGTTCGCCATAAGGTGCAACAAGACAGGGTTTTGTGGTAGGTGACTTGGTTGATCATGTGACATCGACATCGTGGTTCATTCACAGTATCAGTCACTAGATTGTCTGGATCAGATTTGATTATTTACAGGCAGCTGTCATATAGCTGTAATATTACTGAGTGTGGCATTAACAAACAAATATTCTTGTACAAACAAAATGTCAGGAAATGTTGGTACCAGTTCCAGATAGTTAGGAATATTTCTATACTCACTCAAATCTTGGATACGAATATTGTGTGTCAGGATGAGTTGTGATGGTGACTGTTTAGGTTGTAGTTCAGTTAATATTCAATATTGCCAAGTTCTTGAAGTATCTTAAGCACCATCTTACATTTCAGACATAAGTACTCAATTGAATACGTTGTTATCATGAGAAGATGAAGAATTAACTCACTATCCCTTTGCATGCACATGTGTGTATTGTATTCCTGTGTTGTTGTTTTAATGATTGTATCATTGAAGGTACATTTATCTGTTTCACGCTTTCATGAACGCGTGTTTCAGATGGCAAGAAGATGGGGTTTGGGTTTGTTCAGTACACCAACATGAAGGATGCTGAGGCTGCAATATCTGCGATGAACAGTGTCAAACTGAAAGGTCAGCTGTATATAACGCTTTGAGAAACAGTCACATTCATGTACTGACATACAGCACACACTATCAGCACTGATCATAGGATCTGTATCAAGAGTTAGTTGATCATCAATTTAAGTGAAAATATTATATTGAAATAATCTTACTGATACATGTGTACCATGCACAATAGAGTGATGCTGATGTAAGAGAATACATTTTGAGGTGTGAATGCTTTGGAGATGGTACATGGAGATAGGTGGTACAATGAGATAGGTGGTACATGGAGATAGGTGGTACATGGAGATAGGTGGTACATGGAAGTGGGTGGTACAATGAGACAGGTGGAACATGGAAATGGGTGGTACAATGAGATAGGTGGTACGAGATAGGTGGTAAAATGAGATAGATGGTACATGGAGATAGGTGGAACATTGAGATAGGTGGTACATGGACATAGGTGGTACAATGAGATGGGTGGTGGAACATGGAAATGGTACAATGAGATAGGATGGTACAATGAGATAGGTGGTACAATGAGATAGGATGGTACATGGAGATAGATGGAACATGGAGATAGGTGGTACATGGAGATGGTGGAGATATGTGGTACACATGGAAATGGGTGGTACAATGAGACAGGTGGAACATGGAAATGGGTGGTACAATGAGATAGGTGGTAAAATGAGATAGATGGTACATGGAGATAGGTGGTACATGGAGATAGGTGGTACATGGAGATAGGTGGTACAATGAGACAGGTGGAACATGGAAATGGGTGGTACAATGAGATAGGTGGTACGAGATAGGTGGTAAAATGAGATAGATGGTACATGGAGATAGGTGGAACATGGAGATAGGTGGTACATTGAGATAGGTGGTACAATGAGATAGGTGGAACATGGAGATAGATGGTACGAGATAGGTGGTACAGTGAGATAGATGGTACATGGAGATAGGTGGTACAATGAGATAGATGGAAGTGCATGATACAATGAGATAGGTGGAACATTGGAATGCATGGTACAATGAGATAGATGGTACATGGAAATAGATGGTACATAGAGATATGTGATATAATGAGATAGATGGTACATGGAAATGCATGGTACAATGAGATAGATGGTACATGGACTGACTGACTGAGTTTAGTTTTACTCCGCTTTTAGCAATATTCCAGCAATATCTCGGCGGGGGACACCAGAAATGGGCTTAACACATTGTGCCCATGTGGGGAATCGAACCCGGGTCTTCGGCGTGACGAGCCAACGCTTTAACCACTAGGCTACCCCACCGCCCCGATGGTACATGGAAATAGATGGTACATAGAGATATGTGATACAATGAGATAGATGGTACATGGCGATAGATGGTACACTGATATGGGTAGTACACAGAAATAGATTGTACATAGAGATATGTGATACAATGAGATAGGTGGTACATTGAGACAGGTGGTACATGAGAGAGGTGGTACACGAGGATAATTTGCACAAGGTGTAGCTGTTGATTTGGAATAACTATTCCATGGAGACATCAGGTACATGGAATAGCTCCATGGAGAGAGTCGGTATACAGATAGACAAATCAAGGCACATTTTGGTATCCAAGCATAGGAAAGGTGAAACACTATTTTTGGACTGTGGAATTTTTTTATGTTTGATCCCAAGTCAGTTGCAGATGATGATGAATGTATGTCCTCTCCGTTGTAGGTCGGCCTATAGCAGTCGACTGGGCATTGAGCAAGCACACATATGAAGCACTGAAAGGTCAGTTACTGGCCCTTCTTTTGTCCCTTGGTGTGTTGTGTATACATGTCATGTACAGACACACAGTGTGATATATACCATGTGGATTACACAGTTTGTGGTATACAGTGTGTAACATACAGTGTGTGATATAACATGTGCAGAAAGCCATGGGTGATATACCATGTGAGACATACTGTGTATGATATACAGTGTGCAATATCACCATGTGAAATATATCATGTGTGATATACAGTGTGTGATATAACATGTCCAGAAAGCCATGGGTGATATACCATGTGAGACATACTGTGTATGATATACAGTGTGCAATATCACCATGTGAAATATATCATGTGTGATATACTGTGTGTGATATACAGTGTCAGTTATACAGAGTGATCCACAGACAGTGTGTGTAGTATATTGTAGTATAAGGTATATGATATACAGTGTGTGATATAATTTAAGTGATATACAGCAGGGGTGGATACAGCTTTTTGAGAAAGGAGGGTGCACACTATTGAGAAAAGGAGGGATGCACACTTCATTTTCACCCGCGTTTCAATGGTCATTTAACAAACATTCAGCACAAGGTGTGTGTGTGTGTGCGTGCGTGTGTGTGAGCGTGTGTGTGCGCGCTAAGGTCGTTCTCCAGTGGGCATGGTTCCACCTCTCTGCGTGCGCGCGTGCGTGCGCGCGTGTGTCACCCCTGCACCCCCCTCTGGATCCGCCTATGTACAGTGTGTGGTATAAAGTGTTTGATATACTGTGTGCGATATACAATATGTGATATACTGTGCGATATACAATGTGTGATATAAATTGTTCGATACAATGTGTGATATAAATTGTTTGACACTCTGTTTGATACACAATTCCATCCTGTCTACAGACAAAGAGACAGCAGCAACCCCAAAAATGGATGAGGGGTCATTCAGTGCAGAGAGTGACGAAGAGAGTGCGATGAGTTCAGAGAGTGACGATGATTCCACGTCATCAGAGGAGGAAGAGGAAGAGCAGGAAGACTCAGATGAAGAATCTGAAGGTTCGTGTAAATGAGATGATTGTGAAGTACAGACATCAAGTTACCATGGTTATGGCTGCTGATTTCAAAAGTTTTGTATACCGTCATAGATTTTATCATTGCACTTGTACAAAGTTCACTTAGTGCTCCTGCTGTTTAAGGTTGTTACCATGTTAGACTTATGGTAATGGTCTTCTTGTGTAAGTGGGTGCTGGACAGTTCAGTCCTATTGTAGGCAGTGAAAGCCAGCTGGTACATTCTGTTGCATTTACTTCTTGTGACTTGTGGACACTGAAGTAATGTTATTGATTAGAGATTAACTTATAATCATAGAATTGTTTTGATGTTGGTCTGTGAGTCAAGTGGAGACAGTGTATGTGTGTCATTGTATCCTGATGGTATGTATAGTTGCTCATGATATCAATCATTGGTTTGCCTGCTAATAGGCCTCTGGGTTTTTGATCTTCAGTAACCCATGCTTGTCGCAAGAGGTGAGTAACGGAATCGGGTAGTCAGACTTACTGACTTGCTTCACACATGTCATTGAATCCCAATTGCGTACAGATTGATGCTCATGATGTTGACCACTGGATTGTCTGATCCAGACTCGATTATTTACAAAACCGCCACCATATAGCCCCATTGCTGGAGTGTGGCATAAAACTCAACTCACTCACTTACTTTACTAATGCTACTGGTATCTGTTTATGAAAGCGGGAAACATGAACTTTATATGATACATGTTATGCACATATCGTAATCATATCAACAATAACAAAAATAGCATTTACAGATGTAGGTGCTATGTGAAATTTACATATCCCTGTATTTCCTGATACTCTGTATTTTTTACAGAGGACTCGGACATCTCCGACTCCAGCGATGAGGGATACAGTGACGAGTCGGAAGATGAGAGAAAGAAATCAAGTAAGTTAGTGGCCCCTGTGCCTCCATCAGGTGGTGGGTAGAGTGTCTCACCTGAGCCATGTCATGCAAGATGTTAAAAGGTGGTACAATATAAGTTGTGCACTGGTCACAGGGGGGACAAACATCGAGGGTACATCAACCCATGGGGCCCGAGGGACAAGTGAACTACGTATTTATCTTACCGAACACCTCAATGGTAAGTTTTAACTGTTTGAAGCACGGGTATCGGATCATAGTATGGAGTACCAGAAGACAAGAAAAACAAATTTAGAGTTATCTCCCTTCCATCGATTTGCATTCACAAAACATCGGTAATTTCCGTACATCATACGTCATTCAATGTTATTCGAGATAAAGAATTACTACTACGAAGTACCAAATGAGTTCAGCATTCCCAGCTGGGGTACATAGAAAATGTTACTCGCTTGTAAGCGGGATACATTGAAAATAATGGAAGAGCGCTCAGCCAATCAGAAAACCTCATTTATGTGTGAGGTAAGATAATACTTGTTGTTACCCTGCCTGGTGCTTGTCATTAATGTCAGGTTGGATCTAAGTACATCGCTGTACAGGTACTATAAAACCGGCACTAGTAGGGTTGGGTCTTTGGTTTGTTGCTTAATGCCATGCTCGGCAATATTCCAACTATGTGGCAGTGGTCTTTAAATAAGCAAGTCTGGACCAGACAATTCTGTGATCATTATCATGAGCAACGACCTACGCAATTGGGATACGATGACATGTGTCAACCAAGTCAGCGAGCCTGGCCATCCGATTCCGTTAGTTGCCTCTTACGACAAGCATGGGGTACTGAAGACCAGGGACGGTGGGGTAGCCTAGTGGCTAAAGCGTTCGCTCATCACGCTGAAGACCGGGGTTCGATTCCCCACATGGGCACAATGTTTGAAGCCCATTTCTGGTGTCTCCCGCCGTGATACTGCTGGAATATTGCTAAAAGCGGCGTAAAACTAAACTCAGTCAGTCAGTACTGAAGACCAATTCTAACCCAGATCTTCATGGCTATGGCACTAGTAGGATGAGTACAAACTTGGGCATGCACATGCACAGTGATGTAATCGCATTGGTTAACCCCAGTTCAGCACAAGGAATGGGCATAAACTGATTCCACACATTGGTACATAGTGTGACATGCACCTTATTTGTACTCACAGCCAGGTCATGTCACTCACTCATCCCAGCTGGATGGCATGTTACATTGTATAGAATAGAATAGAATAATACTTTAATGCCTTTTCAGGAATTTGTGTTACATCAGCAGAGCTACTGACACATTAGAGAGATACCAAACATATTTACATAAATTCTTTGATTTAAGTATCTTCACATTTGGGGGCGGTGGGGTAGCCTAGTGGTTAAAACGTTGGCTCGTCACGCCGGAGACCCAGGTTTGAATCCCCACATGGGTACAATGTGTGAAGCCCATTTCTGGTGTCCCCTGCCGTGATATTGCTGGAATATTGCTAAAAGCGGCGTAAAACCAAACTCAGTCAGTCAGTCTTCACATTTGTTTAAGAGAGATATTGTACTTGGAATAAAGGATGTACGGGCTCTCTTAGTTTTCACAATTGGAACTTTGTAGCGGCGGCCTGAAGGGAGGAGGTTGTATTCCGAATTTAAGTAGTGAGTATGTTAAGATATGATTTTGATAGCTTGATTCACGATTTGCCGCTCATATATTGATGACAAACATTCAAATCTGACTCCAGCGATTTTACTTACAGTGTTAACAATTTTGTCTAATTTAGATTTGAGATGAACTGAGAGAGACCCGTACCAACAATGGAAGGAAAATGTTAAAATACTCTGAATAAATGCTACATTAAAAGATGACATCACAGATGGGTTAACATGAAAAGATCTCAGTTTACGCATGAGATGAAGACGTTGTTGACACCTACTGTATAGGGCTTCAGTGTTAGAGTTTCAGTTCAGCTTAGAGTCAATGAAGGTTCCCAGATACTTATACTCCGACACTGTCTCAACACAGTCACCGTTGATTATCACTGGAAGCATTTCTGTTGGTTTACTCCGAAAGTCGATTATCAGTTCCTTTGTTTTTGTGACATTTAAGAGTAAGTGATTTTCTGCACACCAAGTTGTAAAATGATTAATGTCCTCTATATACAGTTCTTCAGAATCAGTGTCGTTCAGTTTGCCGACAATTGCTGCATCATCTGCGAACTTTACAGTTGAACAGGTTGAATTCGAGCTTGCACAATCATTAGTGTAGAGGGTGAAAAGAACAGGAGATATTACACAGCCTTTTGGTGCACCAGTGTTGGTGGTCCGTTTTCTCGATACAGCCCCGTTAACTTTCACGTACTGCTGTCTGTCCACAAGAAAGTTTTCGATCCACTTGATGAAGTATGAGTTAACGCCCATGTCTAACAGTTTCTGTATCATGATATGTGCCTGGATGGTGTTGAATGCAGATGAAAAGTCAACGAAGAGGATCCTGATGTTTGACTTAGGTGTTTTTAGATGTATATAGACATTATTAAGGAGTGACAGTGTGGCATCAACAACTCCTCTCCTTGACCTGTAGGCGAACTGAAGCGGGTCCAGTATGTCGGCAACTTCCTATCGGAGATGTCTCAACAAGATGCGTTCCAGCGACGTCATTGCTATAGATGTGAGAGCAACTGGCCTGTAGTCATTGAGTTCTTTAGGCTGTGTCTTTTTAGGAACTAGTACAATTTCTGATGTTTTCCAGACCGAAGGAATAACGTGTGTATTCACTGAGAATTGAAACAATGTAGTGAAAACTGTACACAGTTGAAGTCTGCACTCCTTCAGCACAATGCCGTCAAGGTTGTCAGGTCCTTTTTTTCTTTTCTGATGTTAATTCTGGAGAAGCTTTGAATGACGTCAGCTTCTGATATATGGATACGATTTTCACTATCCTGTACGGCTTCACTAACTTGAGCTCTCTCATAGGTAAAGTCGTGACAATCAAAGCGGCTGTAGAAAGTGTTGAGGTCCTCAGCAAAGGTCGTATAATCCCGGCGTTGGTTTCCTGTCGTCGCCTGCTATAACCATGGTAACCATTCATATTATTACAGAAAAGAAAAGGAAACCTGAAGCAAAGAGTGACATCAGTGAGGGGGAAAACTCTCTTTATCAGGTAACTATGGCGACCGGATGTGATGTATGACATTCCTCATTGAAGGCTACATATATTCTTATGGTCTACATCCAAATAAACAGTATTGTTACCATAGTAACACCTTGAAATAACTATGTTTCTAAGTAGCTGAAGTGATTTAATCAAAATACTCCTCAGTTTGATATTGAATTTGTTTTTAAATTTTCTCTGACCACTCATACAAGAAGCTTTTGTTATTTTTGTCTCCAGAAATGTTCCCTTCAGGTGTGAGGAAGAGGACTTGCAAGACGTTCTCTCAGACTTCGGCAACATTGTCTACTGTAAACTTGTGATGGACCCCTATACTCAACATGCTAAAGGTTAGAATCCTATACTCAACATGCTAATGGTAGGACAATATTCAACCGTCTAAGATCCACCACTCAACAGTGGCATGGTTAGACGAGACTTTCTGCTATATGTTCACCTAAAGGTTAGATCTATCATTCTCTCAGTGCTAACTGCTGGCTGTATGTTTACAGGCACAGCGTTTGTCAAGTTTGACACGGTGGAGGAAGCAGACAAGTGTTTGGCTAAATCCAAGGACACCAGCAGGGTGAGTGGCACACCATTGTGTATTGTAGCATATGACGGTTTCTCACAAGTATATGGAACTTGCTGATTTAGATGTAAAAGTTCTAGATATACCAGTATTGGTGAAACCTAGCATAACCAATCTGCACAAATTTTGATTACCCATAACTCAATAAAAATCATCTGGCGTGGCACATTCTCCTCCATCTCTCCATCTTCAAATCTGTGAAGTTTGGTTGTCAGTTTTGCTCTTTAAACTGACCATCACAAGCAGACTGCAATTTGAGTCCACGCTGTGAGGTACAGTATCGCCTCCGTGGTGTAGTGGTTAGAGCGTCTGCCCTGGTTAGAGCGATCCCCGACCGCGTCATACCAAAAGACGTTAAAATATGGTACTTGTTGGTTCCTGCCATTGGGCTCAGCATTAATGGGTACAACAAGGACTAGTCGGCTCGGAGTGAGTATAATGTGTCTGAGTGGGGTATTCATGCTTCACTGCAGCATGGTATCTCAGTGGGCTAGCACTATAAAACCAGCCTAAGTCTGGGCTAGTACAAGCAGGCGCACATACACATACACACATGCACACGCATGCACATCGTCATATGAGCGAAATATTCTCAAGCACGACGTCAAACCCAATTTCACCTCACCTCACCTGTGAGGTACCAGGACAGTTCTCCCAGCCACAGAATCAAGATGACATAGAACACGAGACAGTATTGGTGGGTTTCAGGATGGAGGCATCACCATAATGGACCGGCCGCTGGTCATCTCACATGCTGTCAGTCGGAAGGACGCTGATGATTTGATGGACAAGGAGAAGAAGAAGGAGAACAAGGTGGACAAGAGGAATCTCTTCCTTGTGAGAGAGGGCTGTAAGTGACATCTCTCCCCACGGACACTGAGATCAACCTGGAATCTCTGGGATGAACACACATCCATTTAGTTATGATCAATACGCTCTGCCTACTGAACTGTTGTTTGGTTTGAAATTCATTATGCTTGGATGGATGCCTAAACTCTGTGTCATGTCTTTGAATCAGACTCAAAAACAAGATGTAATGACAAATGGGCTACAGAGATGTATTCATAGAATCGAGACACGATCCTGATAACACCCTGGCTGATCAAGCCTGACATGAATGACTTTTTCTTCTATGTATTTTGTAATTTAATGGTAGTATTGATTTGATACTTTTTTATCAGGACATTCATCTAAACAAGAGTATACATAAGTGTGTTTGTGAAGCTTAATAACATCTGTTTTCTTGATTATTGCGTGAACAGTTGTAAAACATGTCACTTACATATCAAAGACACCTTTGTCTTAAACAGCTAACCAAAAGGTGCAGTGTTGCAGCTGTCATTGTTTTTTGACTGTTTGACTGCATGTTGCAGCTGTCATTGTTTACTGACAGTTTGACTGCATGTTGCAGCTGTCATTGTTTACTGACTGTTTGACTGCATGTTGCAGCTGTCATTGTTTACTGACTGTTTGACTGCATGTTGCAGCTGTCATTGTTTACTGACTGTTTGACAGCATGTTGCAGCTGTCATTGTTTACTGACTGTTTGACAGCATGTTGCAGCTGTCATTGTTTACTGACTGTTTGACAGCATGTTGCACCTGTCATTGTTTACTGACTGTTTGACAGCATGTTGCAGCTGTCATTGTTTACTGACTGTTTGACTGCATGTTGCAGCTGTCATTGTTTACTGACTTTGACTGCATGTTGCAGCTGTCATTGTTTACTGACTGTTTGACAGCATGTTGCAGCTGTCATTGTTTACTGACTGTTTGACTGCATGTTGCAGCTGTCATTGTTTACTGACTGTTTGACTGCATGTTGCAGCTGTCACTGTTTACTGACCGTTTGACTGCATGTTGCAGCTGTCACTGTTTACTGACTGTTTGACTGCATGTTACAGCTGTCATTGTTTACTGACTGTTTGACTGCATGTTGCAGCTGTCATGTTTACTGACTGTTTGACTGCATGTTGCAGCTGTCATGTTTACTGACTGTTTGACTGCATGTTGCAGCTGTCATGTTTACTGACTGTTTGACTGCATGTTGCAGCTGTCATTGTTTACTGACTGTTTGACTGCATGTTGCAGCTGTCATTGTTTACTGACTGTTTGACTGCATGTTGCAGCTGTCACTGTTTACTGACCGTTTGACTGCATGTTGCAGCTGTCACTGTTTACTGACTGTTTGACTGCATGTTGCAGCTGTCATTGTTTACTGACTGTTTGACTGCATGTTGCAGCTGTCATGTTTACTGACTGTTTGACTGCATGTTGCAGCTGTCATTGTTTACTGACTGTTTGACTGCATGTTGCAGCTGTCATTGTTTACTGACTGTTTGACTGCATGTTGCAGCTGTCATTGTTTACTGACTGTTTGACTGCATGTTGCAGCTGTCATTGTTTACTGACTGTTTGACTGCATGTTGCAGCTGTCATTGTTTACTGACTGTTTGACTGCATGTTGCAGCTGTCATTGTTTACTGACTGTTTGACTGCATGTTGCAGCTGTCATTGTTTACTGACTGTTTGACTGCATGTTGCAGCTGTCATTGTTTACTGACTGTTTGACTGCATGTTGCAGCTGTCTGCTGTTTGTGACGTTTGACTGCATGTTTACTGACTGTTTGACTGCACCGTTTGACCGCATGTTACAGCTGTCATTGTTTACTGACTGTTTGACTGCATGTTGCAGCTGTCATTGTTTACTGACTGTTTGACTGCATGTTGCAGCTGTCATGTTTACTGACTGTTTGACTGCATGTTGCAGCTGTCATGTTTACTGACTGTTTGACTGCATGTTGCAGCTGTCATTGTTTACTGACTGTTTGACTGCATGTTGCAGCTGTCATTGTTTACTGACTGTTTGACTGCATGTTGCAGCTGTCATTGTTTACTGACTGTTTGACTGCATGTTGCAGCTGTCACTGTTTACTGACTGTTTGACTGCATGTTGCAGCTGTCATTGTTTACTGACTGTTTGACTGCATGTTGCAGCTGTCATTGTTTACTGACTGTTTGACTGCATGTTGCAGCTGTCATTGTTTACTGACTGTTTGACTGCATGTTGCAGCTGTCATTGTTTACTGACTGTTTGACTGCATGTTGCAGCTGTCACTGTTTGCTGACCGTTTGACTGCATGTTGCAGCTGTCACTGTTTACTGACTGTTTGACTGCATGTTACAGCTGTCATTGTTTACTGACTGTTTGACTGCATGTTGCAGCTGTCATGTTTACTGACTGTTTGACTGCATGTTGCAGCTGTCATGTTTACTGACTGTTTGACTGCATGTTGCAGCTGTCATTGTTTACTGACTGTTTGACTGCATGTTGCAGCTGTCATTGTTTACTGACTGTTTGACTGTATGTTACAGCTGTCATTGTTTACTGACTGTTTGTTTGTATGTTGCAGCTGTCATTGTTTACTGACTGTTTGACTGCATGTTGCAGCTGTCATTGTTTACTGACTGTTTGACTGCATGTTGCAGCTGTCATTGTTTACTGACTGTTTGACTGCATGTTGCAGCTGTCATTGTTTACTGACTGTTTGACTGCATGTTGCAGCTGTCATTGTTTACTGACTGTTTGACTGCATGTTGCAGCTGTCATTGTTTACTGACTGTTTGACTATGTTGCAGCTGTCATTGTTTACTGACTGTTTGACTGTATGTTGCAGCTGTTACAGCTGTCATTGTTTACTGACTGTTTGACTGCATGTTGCAGCTGTCATTGTTTACTGACTGTTTGACTGTATGTTGCAGCTGTCATTGTTTACTGACTGTTTGACTGTATGTTGCAGTGATCCGGCCTGGAACTCAGGCAGCTGAAGGTCTCTCCAAGGCAGATCTTGACAAACGAGCCAAGGTAGATAACTCTAGTGTTCATGCGTGACTTCACTAACAGGTCCTACAAGTCTGGTCAAGTAATAAGATAGCCCCTATGAAGTAAACTGAACTATTATGATTGCACTGTTCCTGAGAGCACTACACTTTGATTTAAATTTCGAGCTCTCATTGTGACAGGATCATAACAATGATACGTTGGACGAGCTGGCTAAGGCACCAGGCTAGTGATCCAGCGAGGTTGAGATGTCGGGATCGAGCCCACCTGTGACTGGGTGTAGAAACCTTGGAGTCAACTCTGTGAGCAGATTCTTTCAGTGTTGTCACAACCCCTAGTGTACAGTACACAACCCTGTGCACTTAAAAGAACCCACGAATCCGTTGGTATATGACCAGATGGTGGCCACATGAATACGTGCAAACACCAAGTTGCGGGTACAGCAACGTGCATTGAACTTAGACAAAGTACTGTGACTATTTGTCCCAGTTCACCCAACTGTGAATGGGTACCTCATTAGGATGAGAAAGCCACAATAACTTGGTGGGCCTAGTGGCTGCAAGAGTTGTATACTATCCAGGGAGTCAGGGGTGGAAATAACTTTAAAATTGCTAGTGTACTCTGGTACAGTGGCACATGTAAAATCACTTGCCCTGATCATTTTTCCACTGTACCAGCCGTTTTCTTGTTGATTTTTTAAATAAACAACATTATTAACATTGGAAAGTCAACTGGACACCAGTACAGCGTGATATACAAATTTGCTTGCCCGACAGAAAAAAACACTGGACTCAGACGTCAGGCAATGGGTTATACCCACCCCTGGGAGTTGAGATTGATAACACGATGTGCCGTTGAGATTGACATCCAATGATCGAGGGAAAAAATACCAGCGCCTTGAGCAGGCACTAGCTGCCTGGATATGTGCGCTATATAAATATCGTATAATAATACCATGACTGTCTGTTAGTGACTGGGGCTGACAAACTAGTGTTTGGGAACATGAGTAGCAGTCCACACTGGTTGACTATAATGTCACAACGTCGACATTGTTCTATAATCTGAATTATTTCTTTGATTGACTGGTAGGAATAAACAAATGATGTGTGAATATGTTAACACATAGGGATCCAGGGTTAGAAGTCCCCCCAAACAATATTGTTGGGAGCAGCATCAAACAACACACTAACACATACTATACCCTTTATGTTCCATAGATCGAATCCCAGATGCGTCAGAAGCTGAAGAATGCAAACATCTTTGTCTCCTCCACCCGCCTCTGCATCCAGAACCTGCCTGTCTCCATGGAGGATGGAGTGCTCAAACAGAAAATACTGGCGGCAACAGAAGTTAAAACTAAACATATAACAGAGGCAAGTCTAGTGCACAGTAGTGGAAGGGCAGTAGTATCCATTCTCTTCCCACAGAGGTTACTCCTGTCATATATTCCTGCCTAACCTCTGTTCTAATACGGCCATATTTCCCGTTTCTCGTAAAATCCCCTAGCGGCAAACGATCGCAACACGAATTATCTCCCTTCTTTCTATCCAATCAGAACACGTGTTACATCGACTTAGATTCAACTTGACTAACACAAGCAAATGTGAGGCCACAAATATCCCCCATCTGCCGGGGACTTGTGTTGATGTTACACACAAGACGTTTAATGGCTAGCTTGTCCGTTGTCAACGAGGGCGATGGAGACGCCACTGATCCGCCATAACATGACTGAGTTCTGTCTAGAAGAAACGTTTGCGCATCGCGCAGAGGAAGAGGTTTAGTTTTCTCGAAGTATACGGAAATTACTGAGGCCATGCGAATGGTCACTTTTGAAACAACGTCGCTGATTGCACAACTAAATCTGATTGTCTCCAATCACGAGTCTTGAACGCTCACACCATGAAAGGGACGCCGTATTAGAACAGAGGTTACGTAGGAAGATATGACAGGAGTAACCTCTGTGGGAAGAGAATGAGTAGTATCATGATGTCATGGGATTCATAGGAAGATAGTATCTGATGTTTTGAGAGTGACTGGATACGATAATATGGCTGTCATCATCCCTAAGCACAAGGTTGTAGTTAAGTAAAACTTGGTTGATCTCCAACATTTGTTAAACCATGGTTTGTTACATATGAAAACATGTCTCATTTTGGATTCCTTCTGGTATTCAAATCATGGCCATATTGGTTGTAAATGATTCTAAGGTATCAGCAGTCAGGACTTTGGGTTCCTTGTGACCATTGTTGATATATCTCTGTTCATCAGAACCTTTGTCTTTTGGAGGTTACAACGTTGTGATATCACAATGACTGGTGACTCTGGTTTAGAATAGATTCCAGCAAACAATGCTGGTCGTAGGAAGCAGCCATATTGGATGTTCAGATCATGAGGTGGATCATGGGATTCCCTGGTCCAAACTTGATTAATTACAGGCTTCTGCCACATAGCAGGAATATTTCTGAGTGCTATATGACTCAATACAAAACAAAGAAATTACACATGTACCTGGAAGCTGCAAGCTCATTTACTGGAGCAACAAAAACAGGGATTGAGTTACATCCACTGGCTCTGTGTCCTCTGTTGTTTGAAACAATAAATGGATCTACAGCATGTTTTGTAGCTGTCCTTTCTGTGTTTACAGTTGTCCTTCTAAGTCTGTTACTGTTCCTTTGAACCTTCAGTTGTTCAGATGAGCTGTCATTTGGAGTCTGTAGCTGTTCTTTTGAATCAATAGTTGTTCCTTTGAGACTTTAGCTATTCTTTTGAATCTTGAATTGTGCAATAGTCTGTAGCTCTCCTGTAGAATCTGTAGCTGTTCTTGTGCATCTGTAGGCAGCCTTGTGAGGACATAGCTGTCCTTTTGACAGTGTAGCTTTCCTTCATAGTCTTGACGTGTTCGTTTGGGTTCATTTACTCATCTTCTTGTTTTGATACCTATGAATATTCTGTTATGCTAATTGATCTGTATTGTTACCCCCCAACGCATTTTATGGGGGTATTGTTCCGTCTGTCCGTTCAATATTTCCCCATGGCACATACATTTTGGTGGGGTATTGCAATTCTGAATAAAAATGGACTCCGAAATGCGTGGTTGCGTCCGTCAATGCGTCCGCCTGTCCGTTCAATATTTCTTCACCAAACTTGGCACATACATGGATCTGGTGGTGTACTGGTGCCTTTTGGTAGTTTTGCAATTCTGAATAAAATATTTTGGCATTTCCATGGCAACAAGTTTTACTTAGCCTGAAATTGGTGGTTGTGCTCTTTTCCGGAGCTGAACTCTAAAACTGTTCACTATTTCTTCACCAAACTTGGCACATAGATAGATTTGGTGGTGTACTTGTGCCTTTTGGTAGTTTTGGAATTCTGAATAAAATATTTTTGCGTTTCCATGGCAACAAGTTTGACTTTGACTGAAATTAGTGGTTGTGCTCTTTTCTGGAGCAGAACTCTAAAACCGTTCAGTGTTTCTTCACCAAACTTGGCACATACATAGATCTGGTGGTGTACTTGTGCCTTTTGGTAGTTTTGGAATTCTGAATAAAATATTTTTGGCGTTTCCATGGCAACAAGTTTGACTTAGACTGAAATTGGTAATAGTGCTCCCTTCTGGAGCAGAACTTTAAAAACCTTTCAATACTCCATTCCACTTTTCTATATATACACCTAAATATTTTACATAATCATAACTCGTAGACATAATCATGAAGAGTATTTTGCCATTGCGGGGGATATTGATGACTTTGTCTTCTTGTTTGTGTAGTGTCGGATCATGCGAGATGTCACCAGGGTGACCAACAAGAGCAAGGGCAAGTCTCGGGGATATGCATTTGTGGAATTCTCGGAACACAAACATGCTCTGGAAACCCTGAAGTCATTGAACAATGCTGTTCATGGTGGCAAGGTTAGACAGGACTCTCAATTATCATGTCTATTGTACCAGTGAAACCACTTTACAAACCTGTTTAAAATGGCTGCCTGTCCAAGAAAGTCAGGTAGACTAGCAATCAGTTAGGTCTTCTCTCCTGTCACTGCCTTTATTTGTGTTTACTCTTGTCATTCTGATGTTCAATTTAAAGACAACATTTATTATATATGTCTTATTTGCTATGTTAAGTTTTCATTCCAAAGTTGAAACTAACAAGTTAACTGGGAATCAGTCTGTAAGAGAACTAGGTGTGAACCAACACACAGCAAAAATATTCTGTCATTAACAAATGTATTCTAAAATTAAGTTCACAAATCAATTCAAGTTCAGTACGAAGGTATCAATTCAATACAAATTCAGAGGAAGTATAATAGAAGAGCAGTGTTTATAGAAATAATCAAATGTCCTCTCAACTTGTTGCCAGACATGATTATGTCCTGTTTGTGATGCTCCAGAGGCTGATCATCCACTTCTCCCTGGAGGACCAGAGGATGCTGCTGATCCGCCAGAAGAAGCTGGAGAAGATGAAGGTATGTTGGTTTCTTCATGTGGCTTCTTCCAGTAGCATACAGTAGAGTTAAACCCCAATGTTTTAAGGCGTAATTATTCCTTGTATCTGAATCTTCCTTGTGATTCATCACACCAGGTTTCAGCATTCTGGGTGCATGACTGGACCTTAACGATACTGCCAATAATACGCACGCACTCACTCACTCACTCACTCTTTGTGTCCTGTGGATTTCATTTCTGACAGTTGACTCTACAGACATGGTAGCTGTAGCCTGTAGCCTGTAGCTGATGTATTGCATATTTAGTTGGAAGAAAAACAAACAAATTTTTCCTTATCCTGACTCATGCTCTTTTGCTTGTCTCCTTCCTCTTGCGAACATAGTGGAACACTTGTATCTCCCTAATTGAAGTTCCCTTCAATGTAAAATCACTAATTAGTACACCACGAGTTATCTCCCTTCCACAAGAGCTGCGCGGGAACGAGGGCGCCACCTCTACCCATGTGCCTCACTCTCTCCTTCTTCGCCCAGTGAGCTGGACGTGAGAGCGCCTGTGTCTCCCGACACACTATATCCTTTGATTATATTTAGTTAGTTACCTCGTATATAGACATCTATAGAGGTTTAGCTAGTATCTTCAACAATTATATATTGATATTTAGTGGAGTGTTTCTACTGTTTATTCACGGGGACGCCGTGTTGTTTCAGTGGATTACGTTGATAAAATTCTGTACTGTTGCACATTACGTTTTTATTCTGCTGCTGATCGCATTTAATATGCCCTAGCTGTACTGCGCCATGTTTCATGTTATTCACATTGCAGTTGCGGTACTAATTTATCAATTCTGCCTTTAATAAATATTACTTTGCGTTTGAGGCAGCGCGAGCAGATAGGTCGGCGTATGCAGAGTCTAGCCATGACTGATACACCTGAACCCTAAGCCAGTCTACTGCTGTTGGTCGACCCCCTCCGTCTGGTGTTCCGCTAGAGTGGTGGAGAAGCGTGGGGCGTAGTCCGCCGCCTCAAGAAGCGTCCTGCTTCCCCAGACATCCCATCATTAAGCAGCCCGAAGACTAGAGGGTGTCTACTGCATCTCAACTTAGCGACCTCTGAGGGGAATCAGCGAAGTCTACTTGAACTTTCTCCGCCGAGATTGTTCCCGTCGCCAGATTTGGGCCTGTATGATGATCAGCCGATCATCATACCTGATATTACATCAAAAGAATGACCGATGTCGACAACAGTGATGTCAGCGCGAGATCAACATGCAGCCTGATGTACAAGCGCTGATATTCTATGATCTTCCTGAGGGTCCCGTCGCTACCAACACTCCAGCGCAGACTTAGCACCCCAGGGCGGCGTCGACCTCTGAGGGGAAATCAGCGAAGTCTACTAGGACTTTCTCAAGCGAGATTGTTCCAGCAGCTGAACTGGGCCTCTACGATGATCAGCGATCATCATCCCCGGCGTCGTGCCACAAGAAGCTGCCGGAGACAGCTACAGTGACAACAGCAGAGATCGCCATGCAGGCGAGGTCTCTACACTGGCGTCAGGCGGCGTCCTGAGGGAACCCGCCGCTAACATCGCAGAGAGGGCACCGACTACCCGTCGCAGACCATCCCAGATGAACTGTTGCGGCAAATCATGATCATGATGGAGGGCCACTACAGACTGGTGAAGCAGCCAGCCCAAGGCCTGAGCCTTCACGCGAAGGTTCCAACGCAGGCGACACCCCAGAGGCACCCCCATCAGCGTAGCAACCACGGCGAAGCCACCTTCGAAGGAAGTCGCAGACCACCTCGAAGGACCCAGATGTACAGCCGAAGGCCTTCAGCGGCGGGATAGATCATCACCTTCCTTGGCTTCATCCTTAGATCGCGGACTCAGACCATCAGACCTCACGGAAGCCTTCGAAGGTCAAATCGCCGTCCCCAGGACGGACGCCAGAGGAAGCCGCAGCGAAGGACACCTGACTACACAAGAGCTTGAAGCTATCAACATTCTCCTCACAGGTCTCCGAGAAGGTCAACCGATAGGCGCCAGATCACCAACACGATCTCCGCGCCCGTTCACCGTGCCGATCTCCTCGTACATCACCCACGTCGATCGTCTCACAGGTCACCACACAAGTCTGCACACAAGTCTACAGTCAGGTCTCACCGGCGTCACCCGACATAGAGATAGAAATACACAGTCCACCATCAGAAGAGCATCAACCTCTCATCAGCGATGCTGGGATAGAAAATGATGGAGGCATCATTTTCTCAGGCGGCTGAGATCACGATATTGGATGGTAAACAACCTAGATCTCTCTTCACCTTCCAAGAGTGGCAACTTTCGGCGCAGACATACCTGATAAAGGAAGGCGAGGCAGGCGCCTTACCTCCGATCGACTTCGATTGCTCGCGGTGCCACAGTATGTGGACACAGCCTACCATAAAGCCATAACAGTTCAAGCGCCAGAGGCATTATGTTCTTGGCCTTAATAGATCTAGAGCGATCAATGAGATTCTTATGACCAGATTTCGTGACCACGACTTCTGAAGATGATAGGATGATCTACTCGGCTCTACTTATGCAGAACCAGCAAGAACCACACCTGTATGAAGCTAGCGCTCATATATTGATCGGATTCTAGACGCTTCGGCTAAGGAAGTCCCAGGCCACCTCTGCGAAGGAGCTAGAGCCTCACCAGTTACAAGGGGCGTCGAGGAGTGGCGCTTCTGACCCACATATTGCTGAGTCGCGGGCGTAAAACAAAACACTCACTCACTCCTCCTGTTGAACACAGAGGTGGATTACATGAAGCAAGCGCTCATATATTATATATATATACTGATCGGGGCTCTGACTCGATACCTTCCTTGAAGGTCATGAAGGCTAAGTGGCTCAAGTCTACCTCACACAGAAAATCTAGAATGGATGCCGAGAGCTTCGCTGAAGTCTCCGGCGTCCACCGAGAAATCTCCTCAAGGAATCTCCATATATTAGCCACTTTCGTCATATATAGCTACTTCGTCAGTCCGTTCAAGACATCGCATAAGTTGTCTATCAACTGTATGCCATATGCCGTCCTATAAGCCTACTGGCGAACAATTGCACAGGCTATTTACAACACAGAGCGTCGCTATATTAATTAGTCAGCGGCGTTTCATAGATCTTCACAGAAATCAACCTTTCGTGTATAGATTGCTAGAATATGCAATCCCGGACTACGATCACGATTATCTACATGCGTGACCATTCGCATGAATCTGCAGACAATTCAATATCGAAATTGAACAGCAGCCTTGTTACAGTGAGTATAACTCATAATCGTCCAAAGTTTCTGAGAAGAAATATGTACAACAAGTTCAGCTTTAATTCTACAATTATGGCGATACATTCATGTATACAGCTGACAACTTGCAAGTTTATTGTACCTTTATATAAGGAAGTGGATTATATTCAAAACTGAAGTTACTTTTCCGACAGCCAGGAAAATAACCTACCCAGCATTAATATTACAGAAGCTGAGGGTATTTGGCGCGGAGGTTTAAGCGTTTACCTTTTAACCTCGCGAAACACGTGGTCACTCGGGTAACCCGGGAAGCTACAGTGAAGACCGGCGATTATGCTAATATCAGCGGCAGCAAGATTTTATACAAAGTTTTTCCTGCTACACCCGGTGACATCACTGGCGGGTATTCTACAGAATCAAAATGCCTTGTTCTGATTGGACGGCGTTGGACAATCGACTCACGCGAGGTCGATCTTAGTTCACAGTTCAAGACTTACGTTACAAGTGACAACTATATATCAGTGAGCGAGCAAGCCTCCTTACAGTCCAGTTAATCTGAACCTTCATGATTGGGCTGCTTTCTTCAGGTTAGAGACCTCCCTGTCAAGTTAGGGCGAGGGGCGGCAGTCAGGCAATTTTACATAAAGTTCAGCGAGGACAGACACACCTGGTTGTGCACCTACATCGTCAAGGACTTACAGCGAATAACCTAGACGGCGGGATACAAGTGGATCTAAATCCACAGCGTCTCAGACTACAGCTGAATTTCATAATCAAGCTACTAACACAACTAGATGGTTAGTAAACCTACTTAAACTTTCTGATTGGAGAATTAAAGCGGAAGTTTCACCCTCCAACTTCGGGGATCTGAATATAGTGCTCCAACACCTCACAAGTGAGGTTTATGAACACGCCTGGATGACATACTTGGACTTCATGATACGATGATTCTATCACGATGGCCAGCAAGAGCACTGTAAATTTATCTCCACCGAACCAAACAGAAGGAATAATGCAACAGATTATTTCCTCTATCATCAACTTCGCAGGAATGAAATCTCTCGCGTACTATATCTCCGTTTGGATCAGAACTGTCATACTACGTGCATACAAGGCGGATGGACCCAATCCGACCCTCCATGAGCTTTTAATACTCATGATATTAGAAGCTAACTTCTACAATTGATCTACACAATGTTATTTGAAATAATGGAGGGTTTATTTTCTGGAGATCCGATATGGTGGTTGCCAACCATTATCTGAGAGATATCATCACCGAGGGCGTCTCAGGTATCCACCAATTGATCCCATGGTCCTCGCACAACAGTTGACAGTTCCTCGGAGAAGATAAGTCAATCTTACAGATTTCTACTTATCTTATAACAGTACTAAATAGCTACATGCTATATATAATTTGCTTAAGTTCTTTTAATCATCACAGTACTATGATTATTACATCATACAATATGTAAGTTAACAACTCTACAGAGTTGGTTATTATATATTTACCTTAACTTAATTATATCTTAAGCATAGTACTATACTCAGATTGTAAAAATATATATAAGCTAACAAACTCTACAGAGTTTGGGCTATTATATAGGTAGCTTAAAGCTTATTCATATCTTAAGCTCAGTACTATGTTTATATCATATAAGTATATTAGCTAACAAACTCTAAAGAGTTTTTGCTATTTGGCTTAAGTCTCATCATATCTTAAGCAATATGGTTACATTATAACATGTATTAGCTAACAAACTCTCACGGGTTTTTGCTATTATATATGTAACTTAAGCTTATTCATATCTTAAGCAGTACTATGTTTATATCATATAGGTATATTAGCTATCAAAACTCTAAAAGAGTTTTTGCTGTATTATATATTTGGCTTAAGTTTCATCATAATTTAAGCTTTATGGTTACATTATAACTTGTATTAGCTAACAAACTCACGGAGGTTTTTGCTATTATATATGTAGCTTAAGTTTTCCTTCAAATCTTAAGCTCAATACTATGTTTATATCATATAAGTATATTAGCTAACAAACTCTACGGAGTTTTGCTATTATATATGTAGCTTAAGGTTTCCTTCAAAGCTCAATGCTATGTTTATATCATATAAGTATATTAGCTAACAAACTCGACTGAGTTTTTGCTATTATATATGTAGCTTAAGGTTTCCTTCATAAACTCAATACTAGGTTTATATCATATAAGTATTTTAGCTAACAAACTCTAAAGGGTTTTTTGCTATTATATATATAGCTTAAGTTTAATTATATCTTAAGCTCAGTACTATGGTTATAACATAAAAGTATATTAGTTAATAAACTCTAAGGAGTTTTTTTTTGCTATATACATTTAGCTTAAGTCTAATCTTACCTTAAGCTTAGTACTATGGTTACATTATTAATATATAAGCTAATAAATTCTACAGAGTTTTGGCTATTATATATGTAGCTTAAGTTAATTATATCTTAAGCACAGTACTATACTCATATTGTAAAAATATATTAGCTAACAAACTCTACAGAGTTTTGCTATTATATAGGTAGCTAAAGCTTATTCATATCTTAAGCTCAGCACTATGTCTATATCATATAAGTACATGAACTAACAAACTCTAAAAGAGTTTTGCTATTATATAATTAGCTTAAGTTTAATCATATCTTAAGCTTAGTACTATGTTTATATTTTAAAGTAATTTAGCTAACAAACTCTAAGGAGTTTATACTAGCATATTAACAAGCTTAAGTCTATTAGTCTTAAGCATTGTATTAATGTTATATATACTTTATCATAATAAGTACATTGTAATAACCTTTATATGGCAGCTGATAAGTTAGCAGCAGGAATTCATCAGTTCAGTGCCTTTATGAAGTTCCCATAGGGTTATTACAATCATCACAGTTCAAATCACTAATTATTAAAATCCAAAGTATTATATATTCCCACCTCAATCCAGTAGGATTCTACAAACAAAAGAGCATGAGTCAGGATAAGGACAAATATGTAATTTTTGAGTAAAATTGATATTTTATACTTATCCTGACTCATGAGGTCAGCCCTCCCATCCTCCCCAAATAACACTTTGGATTTCCTGTAAATTCAAATGTTGGGCTCAGTATATGAGGAGAGAGTGAGGCACATGGGTAGAGGTGGCGCCCTCGTTCCCGCGCTTGTGGAAGGGAGGTAACTCGTGGTGTACTAATTAGTGATTTTACATTGAAGGGAACTTCAATTAGGGAGATACAAGTGTTCCACTATGTTCACCGCAAGAGGAAGGAGACAAGCAAAAGAGCATGAGTCAGGATAAGTATAAAATATCAATTTTACTCAAAAAATTACATTTTTTCATATTCTCCTGTGTTTCGTTCCTAGGCTCGTAAAGCTGCTGTGATGAAGAAGGATACCTCAGAAGAAAAACCAAAAGTGGAGAGCAACGCCGAGAAGTCTGCGAAGTCTGTGTCAGTGAAACTGGGTCAGGTGAAGGCCAGCGCCAGGAGGAAGAGTGAGCAGGATCAGGTTGCTAGGAAACTGTGGACAGGGCCAAAAGGAATGCCAACTCATTCAGGGGCTAAAGTCAGGCACAAGCCCAGGCAGGGTCAGGGTCAAGGTCAAGGTCAGGGAAAGAAAGAGAAGAAGGATCACATCGTCAAAGGTCAGAAGAGGCCAGCATCAAATGCTTCTGAAAAGGTAATCATATTATTTCTAAACGTTGTTTAAAATCAATAAAGCACCATTAGGGTTAGTTTGGATCTCACTAAGCAGTGGCCCACAGGGGAAGCTCTGGTATTGTTGACCAAACATAGTGAAACAGACAAGGGAAGAAACCATAATACAGATGTGGGGCACTGGGGGCTCAGCAGTCTTAGGAATTGCTTTTATCAGTGCAGAGTTGCTTCCCTTGAGCATGCCAGAAACATGTTGTCATGGGTTCAAATCCAGGTTTTCCCTGATTGTTTCCAGGTTGTCAGTACCTGACCCATGCTCATGTGATGAACACCTAAAGCATGCATCTGTTCTTACAGCTATAAGCTGACACTGGGTCATATAATTAGAATACTGTCAACAGTTGGGTTAAACTCAACACCCTCACACACTCCATGGAGTTTGATATGATATACTTTCATCAGTCATACAAGAGTGAAGGAGGTCTCTTTCCTCGATGCTTCTCAACCTGATTACCATATTCAGTATAGTACAAAATCATGACCATTGCCTCTGAAGTGTTGAAGATTGCTAGTTTGTAAGTTATTGTAGAACCACTTTGAAAATCCAGGATCTAGCTGATCCAACGTAACTTTGATTTGTAAGATGCCTCTTAGATGGATCGGGACGGTGGGGTAGTCTAGTGGTTAAAGCGTTCGCTCATCACGTCGAAGGCCCGGGGGTTCGATTCCCCACATGGGTACAATTTGTGAAGCCCATTTCTGGTGTCCCCTGCCGTGATGTTGCTGGAATATTGCTAAAAGCGGCGTAAAACCGAACTCAGTCAGTCAGTCAGTCTTAAATGGATCAGGTGGCCAGGTGTGGCGACTTGGTTTATTGGGGGACATTGTGGCTGGATGCATGGGACTTGGGCCATGGCATTAACATTTGGCAGACAGAGATGTTTTTTATCTGGTTTCAGTGACAGTTATTTGTAGTGGTGTTCCGATTAATTGAAATAATCGAAGATTGATTGAAGTGACCAAACGACCAAGCAATTGATCACATTTTCTCATAATCAAACACATACAATTTTGGAACTGCTGTTTTAGTCTTTGAAACACTTGACGATGGAACATATCTTCGAAGTCAGGACCTGAAAACTTCTTTAATTCTTAGAAAACTCACTTCACTAACTGAAAAGTCATGACTGAATATGACTCCAGGAAGTTTATGTTCATGATATATTAGCCATCACTTTAAGAAGCGAGTTGCATCATGTTATACATATCTGCAATAACAACCTGGATAGGAAAATCTGAAAAATGACGCTAACCAATTTTTTTCAGTGATTGTTCGTTGGTAATGAAGCAATCATCAATTGTGAGATTTCAACCAATTCCAGCACTAGTTATTTGTTGACAATTGCTCAGGCAGACAAGGCTTATACTTCAGATTCTACTTACACATCAGACACAGGTCACACTTTAGATTGCTTATATTTTAGCCACAGGTCACTGCTCAGACACAACTGATAATTCAGCCAAAGATCATATTTCAAAAATAGGTCAGACTTCAGACAGAAGTCACACCTCAGACAGATCACATTACAGACAGAGGTCAAGCTTCACACACAGGTCACATTACAGACACAGGTCAAGCTTTAGACACAGGTCACATTACAGACACAGGTCAAGCTTCACACACAGGTCACATTACAGACACAGGTCAAGCTTCAGACAAAGGATCACATTACAGACTAGTCACACTTTAAATGGTGGGGTGCAGCCTAGTGGTTAAAGCGTGCGCTCGTCACGCCGAAGATCTGGGTTCGATCCCAACATGGGTACAATGTGTGAAACCCATTTCTGGTGTCCCCTGCCGTGATATTGCTAGGATATTGCTAAAAGCGGCGTAAAATTACACTCACTCACTCACTCACTTCAGACACAGGTCACACTTCAGAAAGGTCATATTGCAGACACAGGTCACACTTCAGACACAGGTCACATTCAGACACAGGTCACACTTCAGACACAGGTCACACTTCAGACACAGGTCACACTTCAGACACAGGTCACACTTCAGACACAGGTCACACTTCAGACAGGTCACACTTCAGACACAGGTCACACTTCAGACACAGGTCACACTTCAGACACAGGTCACAGTTCGGACACAGGTCACACTTCAGACACAGGTCACACTTCAGACACAGGTCACACTTCAGACACAGGTCACACTTCGGACACAGGTCACACTTCAGACAGGTCACACTTCAGACAGGTCACACTTCAGAAAGGTCATATTGCAGAGCACACTTCAGACACAGGTCACACTTCAGACACAGGTCACACTTCAGACACAGGTCACACTTCGGACACAGGTCACACTTCGGACATAGGTCACACTTGCAGACACAGACACAGGTCACACTTCAGACACAGGTCACACTTCAGACACAGACACAGGTCACACTTCAGACAAGGTCATGTGCAGACACAGGTCACACTTCAGACACAGGTCACACTTCAGACAGGTCACACTTCAGACACAGGTCACATTGCAGACACAGGTCACACTTCAGACACAGGTCACACTTCGGACACAGGTCACACTTCAGACACAGGTCACACTTCAGACACAGGTCACACTTCAGACACAGGTCACACTTCAGACAGGTCACAGGTCACACTTCAGACACAGGTCACATTGCAGACACAGGTCACACTTCAGACACAGGTCACACTTCAGACACAGGTCACACTTCAGAAAGGTCATATTGCAGACACAGGTCACACTTCAGACACAGGTCACACTTCAGACACAGGTCACACTTCAGACACAGGTCACACTTCAGACACAGGTCACACTTCAGACACAGGTCACACTTCAGAAAGGTCACATTGCAGACACAGGTCACACTTCAGACACAGGTCACACTTCAGACAGGTCACACTTCAGAAAGGTCATATTGCAGACACAGGTCACACTTCAGACACAGGTCACACTTCAGGACACAGGTCACACTTCAGACACAGGTCACAATTCAGACACAGGTCACACTTCAGACACAGGTCACATTGCAGACACAGGTCACATTGCAGACTCAGGTCACACATCAGACAGATCACATTGCAGAGCACACTTCAGACACTGATTATGTGTTTAATTCAATGCTACCTTGTTCCGGCAAGGTTTATTATGAGTTTTCTATTCACTGCTTATCATGAGCCATAGTTAGGGATCAACATAACTACTGCTGCCTTATCAGTTTCTCTTGAACAAAATAAGCAAAGCAGTATGAATAGATTGGCAGTAATTCCTATAAATAATCCAATTGGTTACGAGTTGTTATGTAATCTTTCACTGCATCTGTGTATTTTTGTGTATCTATGTGTTTAAAGTTGAACTTCATATTACTAGATGTATAGAGGCTTGTTTGGATTTTAGGTTAAAATAGGTAGCTCTCTGGTAACCTCTGCTTAGAGCCTGGTACAGGAGACTAAATGGATGTCATGGTTAATTGTGTATCATCCCACCTTGACGATGGGGAGATTGCTGACAATAGCTGTCACTGGTTTATCTGATCCAGATTTGATTATCTACAGGCTGCTGTGTTATGTACTACCTGAGAAGTAAAAAAAACACCTTATTGTTACATATGACTATAGGTTATATGTCCTGTCAGAGTAACTATCATCAAATAAAAAATAGATGATAATGTAATTCCATCAGCTTTGCAGGTCCTCATTTGATTTGATTAAAAGGTGCAACAGTCTTAAATGGAATGTCTGGGTTTGTCATATTGTTGAGGGTGTTTTGTTATATGTGCTCTTTTGTAATCATTTTGTTGAAATATTTTTTCTAATATATTTGTGATCATGTGTGTGCAAGTGCTTACCTGGCAGCCACACTCATCTAAATGTGGTCTTACCCGTGAAGGTCCGGGTTAGAATATTGATCTTCAGTAACTCATGCTTGTCTTAAGAGACGACTAACGGGATCAGGTGGTCAGGCTCGCTGACTTGGTTGACACATCATCGGTTCCCAATTGTGCAGATCGATACTCATGCGGTTGATCACTGGATTGTCTGGTCCAGATTTGATTATTTACAGACCGCCGCCATATAGCTCGAATATTGCTGAATGCGGAGTAAACTAAACTCACTCACTCACTCACTCACTAAATGTGGTCTATAAATTCCCTGATCAGTGGATCTGTAAGCATTCCAGTTAACATTCTCAACTCCATGGGGAGTATACGACCTATGCTGCCAACAGACTCAAAAGGGTGTTTACATCCATCTCACATATCAGACACCATTTTCCCTGCTGTGGGAACACAGGCACATGTATCCAAAGGGTGACTCTAGTATTTCAGGGGTATCTATGTATTCATGTTTCAACAATCCGTCCCTGTACAGTTGATGAGAGCATTGTTTTGAGTGGATATTGTGAATGTACTGTACACTAGGAAGAGTGACGAAGGCCTGTACACACTGTTGATCCATAGGCTGACTAACAGCCCAGTCTCTGGCAGGATACAATCTCAGCACCTGGTGCTTGCTGGTCTGGCGCCTTTGACCTCTCACCCACTCCGCTCTACACAAAATGTGTTGAATGAATACTACCTTGTAACTAGTTTTGAAGAGATAGCTTTTGGGGGTTTTCGATTCTGCAATAATTTGTCTTGCTGGAGCAGAATTGAAGTAGTGTTGAATCACATGAGCCTTGAAAACAGCAACATCTGTTGCTTGTTAGTTTGAATATTTTTAATAAACATGAATTCAATATCTCGTAACACACATCAACCTCATGTTGGACTGACATACTTTCAGAACTAAACAAGTCTTCCTGAGGTGGTTTAATGCTGCCAGAGACCTAAGTAGTGTCCACATTTAGCCTGTAGAACTTCTACCACACTTCTGAATTATTCATGCATGGTAGGTGATTGCAAACGATTGAGGTACAAAGTAACCAATATTTTGGACATGTATTTTTGGCACAAATATATACTTTTAACAGCAAAGGAATCCTGACAT